TATTCGTCCAGGATTTCCCATCAGGAAACTTGTATCCTCCCTTTTCGAGTGATCTTCCGAAGGCAGAATTTGCAAGAGTGCCGCCATCACTCTGTTTTCCATAGCCCCCGACATCAATCAAGGTGAAATTGTAATTAGCATCACATACAGCCAGCAATATAATGCTATAGGACCCCTTGTAATTATAATAAACTGATCCACTTCTTTTTGGGGCCTGGATGAGAACATGTTTCCCATCTATAGCGCCTACACAATTTGGAAAGTTCCACCGGTCTTCGAATTCCTCCATGATTTTCCTCCATGTTTCATGATCTGGCACTCTTAGGTATAGAGGAGACAGGGTCTGCCATATCGCTCGAGTCGTTTCATTGATGATTTTCGAGACTGTGGAATGACCTAGACGGTGGGTGATGCCTATCATCATCATTGAGTCTCCATGTGCGAGATACCTACATAAACAAAGTAAATCTTCATGGAACGTCTGGATTCCATACTGCATTTCAGATCATTTCCCCTTGTTTCCATGATTTTTTAAAATTTTTAAGCTGAAAAGCACCTGTACTTTCAGCGCAAAAGACTTACCCTCAAAAGTCTTACCCAAGCAAAAGTCGTATCCTCATTGAAGAGAATTCTGTTGGTAATGCTGCATGATTATCAGTACTTCAGATACAAAGAATATTTGTGCAGAGTATGTATTAATACTTACCTCAGGGTCACTGCCAGCATTTGAGCTGGGGGAATGCAAAGCCTGAAATTTGTGTCCTGTCTAATCAGGTCATTCTCTAGCAGACCGAGAAGGATTTTGAAGAGCTCGGGAGACATTCTCATGTACTTATGAAAATATTCCTTGTCTTCGGTGATGATCTTATCCACAAGAGTTGTAAACGCTCCCATCTGATGACGGGACCTGTTTATGGGACGGACCCACCACTGTCGCGAGGTTTTTCTCCTTTGGCGTCGTAAGAAAAGCAAAAGTGCAGCAGCACGAGCCCTCATGTTGTAGGCAGCCATGTTGCATTTCGCTTGGCTGCTCTACGACCAGTGTAGATGATGCTTCGCAGACGGTCGCAGTCGAGAAATGACTGCGAACTTCGCAGATGGTCGCAGTGCGGCTTTGTCGCAGCACTTCGCAGTCAGTGTGCATCGGCCTTTAGTGGGGGTGCGCGAAGGGAAGTTTGAGGGTGCATGCCAAGCAGATTAGAAAATCTTGTGCAAGGGGGGAGGTAGCCGCAGGGATGAATGTGAAGAAGCGTGGGAGTCTGGATTTCCCCCCCCCCCCNCCTTCATCTAGTGTATTTACGTTTTTTAATCGAACATTAACATTTACATCCTATCGGAAGTGAGTTAGGGGATAGAAGCCCCATTGGAAGGAAAGATGTTTCCCCTGTTTTCCTGTGTGATTTTTTTTTTTTTTTTGCTGATATGCAGTAGAGAGCGTAGGTGGAGCTCGCGCGGCAGAAAAAAAGCACTGCCGTCGCGAGATATTGTCAAGAGGCGTTAGAAAGAGGAAGAAAGCAAGGGATCTAAGGGGTGAAAAGGGTCATGTTTAGTTGGTGGTTCAGGTGGGGGGGGGGGGGGATGAGTCGTCAGTGGTATCACTAGCATTTCCGAGGCGTTGCATAATTTTATTATAGGGATAGATCTTAGTGTGCTTAAAGCGCCCAATGGTGAATTTCTTATTTAATCTCACAGGAATTTCTTTGATGTCCCCTGGCCTTTTAGGGTCGTTATAATAGTTATAAGCTAGTTGAAAGGCGTGCCGAAAGAGAGGGGTGAGTCAGCTATTAAGAATACGTACGTAGGGCTTCCAATAGAGAATAAGAGCTTGATTATTTCCTGGACTCCATGATTCTGTCTCGAATACGCGGATAATAAATGAATAATTTTCCGACTTATTGATTTCTATAATGAGACTAGGCGAGACATATAGTGAGGTACTAAACATTCCTGTGAAGGACGATTACAGGGAAAGAGGGAAGGGTACTTCCGTGTACTGTGAGAAAGGCGAGACCTTTTACTCCATCTAGTGGCTTGAAGGATAACTTCAAGTGCTGTCGGGCACATTGGATCACCGCATCGGTCCAATATTGGATGAATAATGATATAGCAATATCGGAGTTTCATTGTTTCTCCAACATTCACCCAATATTGGCAATATCGCCCAAGGTCTAGCCAATGTAACCAATGTCGGTTCAGCATTGGGCCAATATCTGGTGCTACTGGGGTATGTCCTCCACCCATGAAGTACCGAAAAATGGCTAGCCAAGCTGGAGCTAGGAATGGGACAAGTTTGCCTGCCAATGCCGACGATCTGCCGACGTTGCCATGAAGGGGACATTGTTGGGCCAAGATTCTTTAATTCAAGTAATGTGGGTAGCGAATATCCTGTAACACCCTTTGGGTTTTCAATGATGAACTCCAGACTCGGTAGTATATAGCAATGATGGGTACCACGTGTATCTTCCGGGCATACAATGACAAGTCCTGAAGATAATCGCTGGAAGTACTTCAGCGTAATGGGAAGTTCCTTTGTGCATACAAATGGTTTTTTCTCTGGACGTCTGGATGAAAAAGATAAACGAACAATATTATGGGAAATATCACGGCGTGTGAACTTCACGAAGGGCTTCGAATAAGCTACAAATAAGCCTCATGCCTGGACAAGGTATAAAGAATCGTGCTGAACCCGATCAGTTCATGAAAGGTACCAAAAAAGCCCCCAGAAGGTCCACCTGCTCACCAACAGGTGAAACACAACGCGCCACACTCATGAAGAGGAGGAAAAGTGAAAAGCCTGGAAGCATGCAGCGTTGGACCACTTTCTGGTAGAGGTGTCGTCATGAACATGAATCCGCGTTGTTTGCCACCTGTTGATAGTGTTCGGTCTCACCAGGAACGAGTGCGGGTTGCGGGCCAGGGCCCGAGCAACTCTTATCTCCCGGGTCACGAAGTTCATCATGGCTGCGTGCGGTGAGATTTTGCCTCAGTCTCAGCTAGTTCCATAGGACTTCCTTTTTAAACCGTTTCCAATGTAAGACCTCCTGTATTCGTTGGCTTAGACGACCCGTAAAGTGGGCTTTTATTTATTTTCCCCCAAGAATAATGATTGAAAATAGAAGTAGGCCTACCTAACTGCTAGTCTAAGTGCAGTCTAGGCCTACCTGCCTACTGGAACGAAGAGAGGAAGCGTACAGGTCACACAGCATGGAGAGAATGAGCCAGTAATATAGCCCGGTCGCCCGTCATAGCAGGTCGCATGTAAGACATACATGCCCATGCGTGCAAAGTGCTATTTGGTCTAGTAGAAACAGTCACCCTCAGTGAAGTGTGTTGATAATATTACATACCAAGTGGTATAATAAGAAGAGAAGAATAATAACTGGGCCTGAGAGCAATGGCAAGGATATTCTTAATTGATTGTAGCAGCTAAAGGGACAACACCATTGAAAAAATTTCTCTCCTTGAGACTAACACTCCAGAGGCTTTCTAGTCTAGCAGGAAGCAGAACAGGTTTTTATTTATTGCATATGGAAGGGAACTTGTTCTTACAGTGTTTTTCACTTGAGTTAGACAATTTTTTGCTTGACTCAGACACGCGTGCATGGGACCTTCCTCATGCATGGGTGTCGAAGTCAAGTGAAAAAGTGTCTAACTCAAGTGAAAAACACTGTATTAGCAAATGAAAACCATGTCACACCAATATAAGCCTTGCATGTTTTTATGGAGAAAAAAAATAGTTTCCTGATCTAATCATGTTTTAGGCATGAGGTAAACAAAGAGTGTAAACTAAATTTTGGATTCAAATGATCAAATGAAATATGAAAAAAATGAAAAGTTCTTGTGCAAAGCTAGGAAAATCCTAGGGATAGGTGATTTCAAATTTTGCCTTTAAGAGTGAGTTTAGTGTTAACTGTGAATTTATTTGGTATGCTGCAAAGGCAGCACATCAAGCACAAGAAGGGTGAGATAGATTGTGGAAGTGAATTTTAACTCTTCATGACTGAATTAAAACATTTTTGTAGTGCTTCATAGAGGTCTACAGTGATGAGCCAGACTTATGTTCTGAACCAATGCCAATGCCTAGCAATGAAGAGGTGGGAAAGCTGGGTGGATAATGTGGGAGGAGAAATGCATTTTGTTTTCATCTGTATGGAGTGAACTTTTGAGGTTTTGCTAAAATCAAGAGTAAGGTCAAGAAACCAGGAAAAGGGGGAAGGAGAGATAAGCAGTGGGTAAGATGGTATTTTATAGTTCCCCAGACTGAAGGGAATACATTAATATGAAGGTAGAGTGGAAAGGGACCTAAAATTGGGCCTTGTGGCATGCGTAATTAGTGATTATTGAAGCATGCTATCACTGGCTATGTATATTTTGATAAGAGAAAGTATTGAAAAATGTGTTATCAGTTGACATGAGAAGTTGGTAGATTGTGTATAAAGAGTGGAATGATTGTTGTAATTGAGGGTCTTTAAGAAGGAAATTTGATAAGTGCTACACCAATCATCAGCTCAATATCCTGATGGCAAGCTAATAGACCTTTGGCTTGGTTGTAGTGAAATGGATAGGTATTTTTTATTTGACTCTGTAAGGAAGGCCTAGGCTACACTTCTGAACATTTCACCCAAAACCCAATGGATTCAATTTTTAAAATTACTTCGTCACATGTAAAATGTAGTTTTGAGGCTCACTTGGTTAAGGCATTTGTACAGTCATTCTGAATAACTCTTATTTATATTACATTTAAGTTAGGCTAGAGTTGAGCAAGATCTTGTCTTAATTTGCTTATCCTATGATAGGCACTCTCAATCTCAAGTCAGCTGCTAGCTCTGAGGTAGGATTCATCACTTGATATGTTCCTACTGTTCCAGTGCCTGTATCATTTTGATGTGCGTTCCCCTTCAGTATTGTTCCAATGTTAGACTAAACCTGCTACAAATGAAGACGTGACAAGAAAGTGAGTAGCCCTTGAGTGTTACGATAGGACTACTGATGTGTTAAAAATGCTGGTGGAGGCACAAAGCTCGAATGTGAGCCTTCCCTATGGTTCCATGGGCACTGAGGACAAGGATCTTGAGGGCAAGATGAAGCTGGAAAATGACATTCCTGATGATTCAGAAGAACTCAACCTCACCTTGGATGAAGTTCAGATTGTCAATGAACTTGATAGGTATGCCCATCTAACCCCCTTACAAATACAACTATCTGGAAATCAGGTCTAGACCTACTGCACTAACAGAGTTGTCTTGATTAAAATTATTTCATAATCTTGTTAATTTTTGCAGTCGTCAGTATGGGTTCCTTGATTTAAACCATGCAGACAATTCAAAGAAGAAGGAGATTGCTCTCAAGGTGAGTCTGTGCAGGAGTTGCTGTTGTGTAAGTGGAGGCTTACTGTACACTAGAGATACAATAAATTGGAGTGGGAATTTTACAGACTGTGCAGTATCTGGAAGCACGCCTGAAAATGGCACAGAGGGTGAAGGAGGAGAATCGAAAGATTCTCAAGGAACGAAAGGAAGGGGAGAAACCAGAACTGAAGAAGAGCATTATCATCGATCCAAAATTGTATTGCAAGCTTGGACACCTCAATTTGCTTCTCAAGGAACATGAAAAAGGTGAATATGTATTTCGGTACAAAAAGTAGGCATATACATCAGGTTTATATGCAGAAGAACACTGCCTCATTCATCGCACATGAAAACCCTCAGGTTTGCATGGCTAATCATGTAATCACATGCTCCATTGCTCTGAAGAAATATGGATGGAAGTAGGTGTAGCCTAACATAAGAGTCTCTGCCTAGTGACTGTGTGATGCATATTTTCAAATTCATTACCTCCCCTCCTGGTTTATTCAGAATATTTTCTCAGCTAAGTTTGATACTTTTCATGTGACTTTCACACTAATGTATGCAATTAAAACTCTGATATTTATCAACCCCTTCTGGTCCATTTCATTTGTAATGCTATGGAGGTTTAACCCGCAAAGGGTTAAACTAGGTTAGGCATTAATAACTTAAAAGGTAAACAAGAGAGGACACAGACAAAGTAATAGAAGTCAGCAGACCTTATGAAAATTCTCACATCCAAATTAAAGAGCAAATGTTGTCAGATGTTGTCATTGGCCCTAAGGAGAAGCACGAAATGTCATATTTCTATATGGAGTGAGTTTTTATTGCAATATTTTGCAAAGTGCTAGACATCAATTGTCTTCTTATATTAAAACATGTATACACAGAAGTCACAGGGGTTGTGGAAAAGTTTGGTGTCTTGTGTAATTGCAGTAGAAACCATGTAGGGAGTGTTTGATTAAAATGCATCATAGGGGGTGGTGTTTTTTATTATCTGGGTTATGTTGCTGGTGACCTCGAGTATGAATTTGGAACTGTGAATTGTGAGTTCACTTTCTTTGTTGTAGGGTATTTTCTTCAGGTTACTTGGTCTTCCACTAAGCTTCAGCTATTACTGTCTGAGGACTAGATGGCTTGGAACAGATCTTGCTCACCCAGACATGTTTTAAAAAATAGAAGTTTTAACCCTGTCTACAAATGGGAAACACTAAGCTTGTTCTGCAACAGGGAGAAAGCATAGCAAATATAAGACTCTTGTTTTGTATGAGACTTTGTTGTTAGAGACATATTATCCAGCAAAGATCTAAGTGGTATCAGCTTAAGTCCTTTTTGTATACCTGGTCTTCCAGGCATACATTTTGCTTGTTTAGAGCAAGATCATGATATTTGGTATGTAGTTTCTGAGATGTGAGCCTAGTTGCCTAATCATACAGGAGTGTAAGGATTCTTGTTAACTAAGTCAAGAGTCACATAGATTTGTTTCACAAATTTAGTGTAGGAAAATGTGAAGTGGTCCAATAGCTTGACATGCCAGTATCAGTTCATGCAGTCCAACAAGATGCTGTGTTGAAGTGCTGCATGGAATTGCCTGTTGCCTTATCCTTGCTTATGCATGTCCTGTTCAAAAATCCTTATGCTCTTTCCTTTTCTATGATTCACCTTGGAATCCACCCTTGCCAATTTATGATATATTGTGTGCATCACATATTGTTTATTGGTCACCCATTCAGGTGGTTACTGTCTGCAGGTTCAGCTCAGGGTATCTGATGATAGTCTTTGTATGAAATTTCTGCAGCGAGTAATTACTACCATTTCCTCTTCCTTCATCCATTATTCCACTGCAAGGGAGAAAAACTTTTATACCTGACATTTCTGGGAAAGTGTTTGAAAAGGAAATCATGACTTGTTAGTATGACAGTCAAATCAGTGTTTAGGAAATACATCTTGTCAAATGTACAACTAAAACGCAGGCTTTGCACATATTAGTGCTGGCTACTTAAGTACATGTATCTCTGTCTCAGTTTCTCCTTTGCATTGTTTCCTGAATACGCACATCTTGCTCTTAAGGACCTTTTGTTTCACCTACGCAAATCCACTAACCAGACCTACTCATCTGTAAGCCCCGCTCCAAATACTCGCTTCCCCTGCCGATGGAATGCCCCTGGATAGACGAGAAGAATGCCTCCCTTGGTATCTTTTTTTCCACTTTTGCCTCCTTCCTGCCTGCCTTGGCCCTCGGGCTATGCTTTCCCTGGTTCATTCACCTGCCGCGGTTGCCGGATGTTTGGATTACACGACTGCCTCACATGTCCACCTTTTCCTTTCCACTGCCCATCTCCTTTATTTGGCATAGAAATTAATTAATTTACTATGACAGGAGGGTTTTAGTACAAATATGTCAGGAGGAGGATATAATTCAAACTGTCATCCGTACGAATATATATTGGGGATAGGATTTGACAGCCCTGTCTCTATGCAATGCGGGCAATTCCAAGATCTTCACCAAAGGGCATTTATCCTGAAAGGCCTTTTGAAGGCCGCTCTCCTCCCCCATTCCAGTTGTCCTTGACAAGCCGAGCGAAAAGACCTCCTTTCCACTTGGAAAGGGAGCCTCTTCGCTCGGCGAAAAGCTTAAAACTGTAATTGGTGCAGACAGAAACAATTTTTTAATTTGTCTTCTTTTTTTTGTTTTCTTTCAGCCCTGTCTGCCTATCAGTCGTACCGATCCCTGGCCCAAGATGCTTGTATATGGCAAGACACATGTTTCCTCTATGGCGAGGGACTGGTCCACTTTCACTTCAACGCCTTCACCTGGTCAGTGGCATTTTTGCTTCTCCTAGGCCTACGACTTCGCTTCGACCACCACTGCTCTCTAAGGAGATAATAGGCAAGCATCAATTTCTGCGCCACGCGCTAGATGTCGGGAGCGTCGCGGATTAGGTATTAAAGGGACGTTGTTAAAGTTCATTTCGTCAGGTCGCATGACATACGGTTCTCTGTAAGCGAAGGCCATGAATCGGAATCGATAAGGTTCCCAGGCCATGTGTTAGCGTAGTGCACAAAGAGAGGGGACAGGGGGAGGAGGGGAAAATGGAGAATTTATTCAAATCGACCCCCATTGTGAACTTTCCCCCTCTTCTCTCCTCTCTACCCTTCTAGTTTTTCTTTGTTGGTCCTCTACTTTTCGGCCAGGGCTTTAATTTCGCGGCGTTCGGTGCCTCCTTCTTCCTGGACACTGACGCCCCTCGATTGTTCTTTCCCAGGAGACTGATCGAGAGGATCAGGCGATGATCAGAAATACAAAAAGATAAATGTAATGAAAAGTTGCGTGAACAATAAAACAGTATGAATCGATTTTCTAATCTAATCCCCGTAAATTTCCGTCTCGTACGATGTCAGAGAGTGCGAAAGGCATCCCCAGTCTGCCGGGGCCCCGTGTGTCCTGGGTGTGACACGCGGATGATCGAGAAATGCGAGTGAGTGAGAGTGGAGGGAGGATGAATGAGAGAGAGGAAGTTGTCCTTGAGTACTGTTGAGTACTGTTAACGAGGGGACTGGAGTTCTTGTTGGAACCCCTTGCACCCGTTTTTCCCTTGTAAGCCAGATGTTTCATGCCTCACCGCATCGACACATGATCGGGAGCATTATCATCATCATTGCATGAAAGAGGGGGGGGGGGGAACGAAAAGGATAGACTGGCTTGGGGGCCCCTCTCTCGGCCTTTGTTGTGTCCTTCCCCCCCCCCCTCCCCATCCCATTCCATTGCCCTTCCAGCGCATATTAGAAACTTCAGTGGAAGGTCTCTCTCCCTCTTTAAAATCCCCACCCCTCGTTTCCCCGTTTCCCGCTTTTTAAAATCGTTATAGTCAATGGCTTCCCCTTCCCCCCCCTCCTTTCTCTCTTTATCTGTGGAATTGATTTCTGAAGAGATGAAGTCGAAGAAAAATCATGGTCTACGCCAGTTCTCCCAATCAGAAAAGCAAATAGTTTCATTTATTTGCGCCCAAGGAAACTAGGGGAATTTTTTTTCTCGCTTTCGACCTCCACACCTGCTCGCTCCCCTGACAAGGAAGACAGAAAATAGAAAAAGTGAGAGACGGAAATGCAGCCATTTCATTCTCCCATTCTAGAGCCGTTTCGCAACGGTTTGACTTTTTTTCCTCTGTCGCTTTTATCGCGCCAGCTTGTATATTCCAGGAGATTCGCTTCACCCTAAAAAAAAATCATTTCCCGTCTGAATGCAAATTTCACTCTAATTCCATTCCCTATTATTTCGCTCGTTTACGCCGCCTTTAGTGACGCTCGCAAAGACTAGTGTGGGTGTTCGATGATCGCCGTCGCACGAAGGCGTACAGTCGGAGGGGGGGAGAGAAGCGGATTTGGCTTTGGCTTTCTCGGGGCTTGTGCACTGTACATAACGGGAGGGAGGATGGGAGGATAGTGGATCGGCAGGGATGTCGGATGTCCGGACCGCGCTTCTCTTCCCTTTCCACGCTTTGGGGGAAATAGTTGGCATAGGCGAGGGAGAATGGTAGGCCGGGGCGCTAGCGTGGACCCACCATCCTCCCCTCGCTCTGCTCAGCCGCAGTCCTTCACTCTCTGGCCCGTGTGCCTGCTGCGTGTGCTGCTCTGCCTCCCTTCCCTTCCTTTGGTTATCGCCTAGGCCTAGTTTCACCGTCTAGTCTGTCCGCTTTCATCACTCATTGCTCTCCGACCGACCATTAGGAGGCTGGTTCACCTGTTCTCGGATTGGGGGGGTGCCAGGCCGGCATGCGGTAGCGAATGTGTGTTTGTGCGAGCACCCCCAATCAAAAGAGAAGGCGTTTGATCTCAGAATAGATTCCGATCTCTGGTGTGTGAGTGTGTGTATGAGTGCGAACCCACTGCCGTCTCGACCGAGCACTGCCGTTCTCAGGGATCATCTTCTTCGTCAACTGAAGAGTCTTTCATAACCGGAGGTGAGTGAGAGTGAAGAGGGAGTATGCGAGGAATGTGTGAGAGGAGAGGAGCGGAAGCAGTGGAGGCGCACGTGCGGCCCACTTGGCTTGGTCCCCCCTTCTTTCCCCCCCCCCCTCCTCCACGTCTCTTTGAAGGGCGGTTGTCCCCTTTTGCCATGTGGATGTGTACCAGGACCAGGCGCCCAGTACTCAGCTGATGTGACGTCACGCCCGCTTTGTGTTAAAAGCCGGCAGTGGAGCGCGTGCGCAGTGCAGTTCTCCTTCCCCGCTCCCAGCCCGTACCATCGATCCCTCGCTCGCTGACACTCGCACGTCGATATTCCTCCGTTTTCTCTCCCCCTCCTTTTGTTTTTGACCCATCATCGTTGTTTGCTCCTTGGTCCTGCTGTCTGAGGGAGGAATTGAAGGGCATGGAGTCGAAGCCTATTGCCAAATGGGAATGAGAGAAGGTGGAAGGATGGCGTGATGGACTCAATCGAGACGGGACTCGTGGAGGGAGTCACGTAGCCCCCGCTACTCCCTCCCCCCCCCCTTCCCTCTCGCATCTTCTACCCTTCTCACCCCACCTGTGTGGACGTTCGTAAACAGGGCTCCCGGCATTGGCCTAGACTTTGGTCGGTGTTTTTGCTCCCTTCCACCATTGTAGAAGGAGCAGGTGGTCTCTCCCGCGCTCAATGGCGCTGGGGCCTATTGAGCAATCCGCCCAGCATCGTGCTCGAGAGAGAAAGAGATGGGGGACTGATGCGAGCACAAAACAGGAAGGGGGCATGGAGAGGGGGAATTTCCTCCCTCTTTCTCTGTGATCTCCCTTACCCCAATACATAATGTTTGACGTCGCTCTCCCGTCTGCGCTATTTGAGGTCGTAAAATGGGAAACAATGCAGTCGGGAATTTCTCGTTGCCTCGTAAAAGCCACCCTCTCCCATCGAACAGGATCTTCTTGTCACCGTTTTCCCGTCCTAGTTGCGCCGACTCATCTCGTCTCAAAGACGAGGAATAATGAGTCCGTTCACCCCCTTCGATTTAAATGTAATTGAACGTGATGACGAAGGGTTCGTTTGTCGTTACCAGGATTTTCAGTTCCTTCCCACGGAGGAAGTAGGGGTAGGTGGAATGCCGTGGCTGGTGGCCTCGTTCCAGATGAGCCAGATTCAGAGGATCAAAGAGACAAAAGATGAGGAAGGCCTCGAAGAAAGAAAAAAAAGGCGAGGGGGAGGGAATGGGTAAAAAAAAAAAAAAATCAATCACCCGCTCAGTCGGTGGGTTTTTGTTTCCCACGATCCGCTTCAGTGGTTGCGCACAAAGACATCTCTAAACTTTTTTTGTTTTTAGCAGAAAAAGTTTGAATCCAATAGGACACAAAAAAGGGAGTGGCAAATTGGAGGGAAGCTAGAAAAAGTCATCCTGAATAAGTGGGACGGCGGAAGAGACCGCAAAAAGGAAACCCTCAATAAATAAAAAATGAAAGAGAGGCTGGAAAATAATTGCGATGATACTCATCACGGCATTGATGTGCCGTGGAACGAATTCAGGTTATAAGAATAAGGTAATACGGTACGAATAAGTTTTATTCCGTGACGTAATCCCGTAACGGTGAAATTCCGACCAGATAGTGAAAGTTAGTCGGGTTCTCCTCCGTGAGATCCTTTCTTTCGGGGAGGGAATTCCCCCTCGCTTTGATACGGTGCCCTGGAAAATAAAAGTAATATAATACATAAGAAAATGAAGTGCCGGGATTATTTCCCGCTGGCCCGAAAAGTCGGAAGATGTAGAAATGAGGTAATAAATCTTCCCGAAAAGACGGAAGAAACCTGCTGGAACTGTTTGTTGTTTTTCGATGCTGGAGGCAACGTATGGAAACGCTCGCTTTGACGGGGAATTACCGTCGCAGTGCTCGTGTCGATTTTTTGCTGGGATCCCGAAGGGTTTTTGGAGAGAAGTTCAAGGTTGAAGCAGTTGTGAGGCGGTAACAGATTGGTCATTCAGCAGACCAGAAACATCTCCCTCGGTCTCGTATTGTTCAATGGGGGGAGGGGGAGCCAAGGTCTTTTTCGCCCCTCTCCCCTACCGTCTCCACCTGTCAGGGAGACTTTTTTCTCCCTTTTTTTTTGTCTGTAGGAGAAGGGAGGCTGAGGCTGGATTCTCTCTCCCTCGTTCGCAGTAGTCTCGTTCTTATCTCTGTGGCCTGTCCCCTCTTTCTGATGATGGAACCTAGTGAGTGAGAGGGATTTATCCATCAATCTTGAAGGATTCGATAAAGAACTAGGAAGGAGGAGGAAGGGTATGTCGTGGGGGAAAGCTAAAGGTGACCTAGATTCCAGGAATAGCAGTGGGGTAGGGACGCCCTTTCCCATCGATCCTCGACTTTCCGTGTGGAAGGAGTCAATGCACTCGTGTCTTCCTGCATCACCCCTCCTCTTATGTGGGGGGGTTCCACGTGATATGGCTTCAATTCCTTTTTTTATGGGGTGGTGATGGGTTGCACTAGGAAGCCTACCATTTCCCCATTCTACCGCTTTATGTCTCAAATACCTGTCTGCGCGTACGTCTCAAATACCTGTCTGCGCGTACAAAGCACAAGCGCGGAATCTGAACGAGGCGCGTGCCAGCTGACGTCGTGGAGTTTTTTTTTTCTGGAAAATGTTCTTGGCTTGTGTCAGGTGGTGTGGGGTCCCTTCCATCTTCTCTTTCCAAGGCCGAGACCCTCGAACATCAATTATTACTAACGCCCCCCCCCCCCTCTCTTCTCCTTCCCCCAACCCCTCGCCGTGTGATGCGAAAACAAGCGTGAATTCATTCAAAGGCTGTTCCACTAAAGCTAGTATCCACTAGACGCCGGTTTTTTTTTTTTTAAATTAATATTTAAAAAAGGATACCGTAGCTGGATCTTGCTTTGGACGATTTGAGTCGTGGGAACTGCGTGATCTCCCATGACCTCCAGCAATAACCTGCTCGGCGTATCCCCTTCGCAAAACTGCGTTTCGTTTGGTATGGTTGAGGTGGTGACCGATATCTTTATTGCAGCGCCGGTTGGCTGGGTTATTATTATTTTTTTTTTTTACACAAGAGATAGGTTCTGGAGCTTGGCTGTACTGATTAACAGGTACCGGGAACGGTACTTGAGTCATGCACTTTTGTTTCCGGCCCCACCTTTCATTTTTTTTTTAGACGAGACAAGCTTCCTGTCCCGATTAGATAAACTGGAATTCTAGGAAGGCCAAACAGGATAATCTCATTTCCTAGGCGCGTCATTATTCTCGTCATTTGTTGGCGGTGATTTTACGCACTTCGTACCGCTCTTTAGAGTAAGGGAAAGAATTGTGTTGCCTAAAAGTGAGAGGAATGAGAAGACTGGAAACTTCGGATGAAAACGTTTGAGAACTTGATTAACTAAACAATTTTTTAGAACGCGAGGATGCCAAGGTCGAATAACTTTCCCGTTTTATTCTCATGTACAAGGTCTCCATCTGAACACACGTGACTCGTGAGTCCAGGCTAGGTTCACGCTAGGAAGGAGGGGGTTGGGGCAGAGGGAAAAACAAAGCAGAAACACCTGAGTATGGGTAGTGGAAAGAAGGGAAATCCTTGTTTTTCCTTAGCTTCTCCTTCGGGCGCTGACCTTGTTATCTCGGGCAGATGTCTTCTGTGTCTCGTCATATCCCTCCCTCTTCCTGCCTTTCTCGAGGGGGAGAGAGAGAAACGAGAAAGCGGCACGGGGGTCTTGTCTTCTTCGCTTGCCTGCCATCCCATTCGATGCAATGGAATCAATGCGATCCTGGGTCCTTCGTATGATTTCGGCGTTGCTCTTAGTTAAATGGAATGACTTGAGGATTTCATAGCGAAGAAACGTGGGTTTTTGGCGCTCCATGTTACGGTTCTTCTCCGGCCTTGAGAAGGGGGAGGGAAGGTGACGTCATGGGTTTAACGAGTCCTCATAAAGGAACGAAGGGACAACCCTTTTCCCTTACATTGCCACTCCCAGACCCACCGGATGAAAATGGGACCATAAATTTCCGTAATCCCGACAGGGCGAATTTATCTTCCCGCTTGCACCACTACTCCATGAATGGCACGAGGGATTCGTGCGAGAACGTGAGATGCAAGAGAGCCGTGTGCGAGAACGTGAGGTGCAAGAGCGCTGAAGGAGGTCAATGGACTTGGGCGGGTTCCGCCCCGCACCAGTACCGCGGGGTCCTTTCCCATCCCCTCCCGCGGGTCGCTTCTCCATGCATTGTGACGTCATCGGTGACGCCACTGGTACAGTGGAAAACCAGCCTTACCGCGTTCCCACCGGGAAGCATGGAAGCCGCTGCCGGAGTCCCGTCCCATGCAGCGTGACGTCATCGTTGACGTTATTCAGGATGTTCCCGATAGGGTAGGGGAAACGTGCTTTCCCATACTCCTATTAGCGGGAGGGATTCATTATTCCCGCACCTCGTACTGCTTTCCCGACTTTCTCCTCTCCCGTGGAGCTTGCCCATCCGCGTTCCTTCATAATGCAGAAGAATCGCCTGCCATATGAAAAAAAAATAGAGAAGAAAGAAACCGGTTGAGTTCGCTCACCCTCTGTCACATGTGTCATCTGTCCTCTTATCTCGTAGATATATATTTTTCCTTTTCCCGTTTTTTGTCTGTTTTATTTTTAAAGTTTCTCTCTCCCCCCCCCCCCCTCCCCCCATTCTAACCCGGGTTCATTCGCCCTGGAGTGGGACTCTTGCTGGCCGAAAGGCTTACGTTTCTCTGGTTTTGTTTCTCGTGGCAGGGCGACTCAAGATTTCCTTGACTTGCTGTACGTTGAGCCCAGTTTTCCCCGCGCCAACGAAGTTCACCGACGCCTGGGCATCATTTACAAATGCAATAAGGATTTCGAGTCCGCTCTCAAACACTTGAATTTCGCCCTCAGGGACTCCAGTCCGCTCTCCTGCTCCAAACTTGAAGGTAGAGAGAAATACATTTTTGTATTTTTGAATCCATGGGGTCTGCGGAACCAATTTTCAACTTGAATTGCAGTGAAGTGTGAGATAGCACACGTATATGAGTCTTCTGGGAGACATCGCCTTGCCAAAGAAGCCTATGAGGAACTCTTAGCCGATGAGTCCAAGCTCCCTCCTCTCGTCAAAGCCGATATCTGCAGGCAGTTAGGTAAGCACCATCTCTTCCCATCGTCATCAGGGAAAATTCATATGGTTTGCTATTTTTTTCCAAGTGAGCCATTCGTTATTCCATGGAGTAAATGGAATTCAGGCATTACTAGACTTAGGTAAATCACAAATCTAATTGCGACCTGTAATTTAGAAAGATAAGAGACTCAATGAAATGAGCTGGTGTAAATTAGGGATTGGTATTGATAACGAAATCATTTATTTGATTAGTGGTTTTAAATCAATGAATAAGCTGGTTTAAATAATTGCGAGGTATCATACTTGGACAAATGCTCAGGGTACGCCCCCAATCGACTTGGATATTAAACCTACATGTTCAGCATGATTCGTGATTCCAAATCATGGCGATAAACCAGAAAGCTCCCATCAAATCATAGAACGTTTTCTTTTGCCCACAAGTGATCTGAATCGTAAGCTAATATGTGAATTCGGATATAAATCACATTGATTTTGCTCGCTTGGTTGCTGCAAACGAGATGAAGGCGGCTGTAGAGGGTTATATGGAGATAGCTGTATGGAAGTTGCGGTCTGCACCGTGTGCCTTTCTAATTCCGACCGTTCCTGCAGGATGGATGTACCACACTATCGAGAGTTTCGGTGAGAAGAATCACCGAGAAGCCGTAGCCGTGCAGCTCTTGCAGAAGTCTGTCGAGGCGAACCCGAAGAGCGGCGAGAGCCTCTACCTCCTGGGCCGGTGCTACTCGGCGATTGGGAAGGTCCACGACGCTTTCCTCGCCTACCGCAACTCCGTCGACAAGACTGAGGCGAACGCCAACACGTGGTGTTCCATCGGGTTCGTCGTTCGGTTCCTAATCCCGGTGTCGTTTTTTTTTCTTTTTGCAGTTGTTTATTGAGAATTGGGTTTCAGGGTGTTGTACCAACAGCAGAATCAACCGGTGGATGCCCTTCAAGCCTATATCTGTGCCGTGCAGCTTGATAAGAAGCACAAAACTGCTTGGACAAACCTCGGTGAGCTCGGCGGCTCTATCTGCCTTCCATTTACCATAGTCGTTTTAGTTGCTAGTTGCTGCGTCCTTGCTGAATGTCAGTCCGTACCGATAGCAGTGGCTGTCAAGTCGAAAATTGAATCAGTGATTCATTGAATGATACGTCATGGACAAGATTGAAAGCTGTGGAGTATCAAAGGCAACTCACAGAAGTAGTTGAGTGTCTGGAACAACCTGCCTCACACTGGTGGGGTTTTAAATCCTAAAGGAGGAAGATAAACCAATTCTGGGCCACCTAGAAAGACATGATGACATTGTTGAAGCATCATGCCTAGTGATTTTGGCAATTTTTCCCTGTGCATTTGAATTGGCCAGACTCCCAGGAAAACACTTTGCTATGGGAAGTAGGACTTGAGGCTATTATTGAATACAGCCATGGTCTGTGATTTGCAATGTCAGGGTGACAAAATTAAGTGAATTTGTGACCAAAAGTCTGGAGACTAAGTTTTTGGTGCATTATTCTAGAGTTGTGAAGTTAGTTATATTTCTATGAGAGATGAGATGATCAAATAACAGGTCAATAGGACTGTTTTGGGAATAACTTGATAAGAAAGGTGCCATGCAAAATTAGGAGACTTATAAGAGGAGTTAGGGCACTGCATTTTCAGAAGCAATGCTCTTTGCACCCTGCCAACAGGAGGGTGTTATTGGCCCTCGTCCTAAGTTCCAGCCTTTCTGAAAAGGACACTATGCCATACGTTAATGAGGATGTATAGGATCCCGCTTTTGTATTTATTGCTGTCCATGAACCTTCCTGTATAATACATCTGAATTTCTGAAAGTGTAGGAATCTTACAGGAATGTAGCCGCTTAGTGTAGAGTTTTATTGTCCTCCCACAGGAATCCTGTACGAATCGTGTGGTCAACCGCACGACGCCCTGACATGTTACATGAATGCAGCCAAGGAAGAAGCCCTGCCAGAACTGACCACCAAGATCCGTTTCCTCAAAACACAGCTGGCCAACGCTCCTCTTCCATCTTCTAACTCCAAGTCTGTTCCCTCTCTTTTATCCTTCTTAATCTCCTTGTTGCCATGTTAATCTTTGAAGTTAGATTATGTGGTGATTTTGTATTTAAAAAATGTAGGTTCCATTTTTCTCTAAGTCTTCATTCTTTGGGAGGGGGAAGATTTTATTAAATGGAAAGCACTCTCCTTATTAGGTTATTCAACTAATGCTAAAATGGCGGTTGATGTTAATGCAGGCCAAAGCCGTTGCTGTCCATAGAAGAGGCGTGGAATTTGCCCATCACGGCTGAGATCACAGCAAAGCAGCAGCAGAGGAATCCTCCCCAATCCGCCATGGGCCAGCAAAAGGTCTTTTTCTGTTCGTCAACTCTCATTTTCTCAATACCTTGCACTGCTAGGTTTTTCAGTTTACTATTACCATGGAATCTACCCCACACTCTAAAACACAACACATTATAGTCAGAGTTGCATTCAACCAGCTTGTACTGCTCAAGAATCTCATGACCCCTTTCAATTCTTTTGCAATCTACATTTTGCCTGTTGTGGTGTCATAATAACAAGCAATATCATATATCACAAGCCAAAAAAATTGATGTACTGAAAATATTTCTTTATTAAGTTTTTACCTACAGACTGGAGGCCTACAATGAAGTCATGCTGATACCCTCCAGCATGCAACCCTCTCTTTTCCCCTGTAATATTCAATCCCTATTGGTATTTGACCCAACATTAATTGCTGGCAAAAGAAACTATGATCTGAAACATGGAACTTTGTTCTGTTTTATCCCTGTATCATTCCCCTGCATGAGTAATTGAAAGTTTCTTTTAACCTTGATGCCTTGTGAATGCTATTTAAGTATAAAGGGTTTTGCTGTATATATCTATTTAAATCTGTGGAATTAATCTCTAATTGAGGATTTTCTTGAGTCTGTTCGCAAAAACCCTGTTAGACTGTTGAGTTTCTTCAATCTATGTCAAAGGAAATGGTTGGACAATAGTATCATGTATCCTCCTTCATAGTATGGCCCATATGCGGCGGGGAATCCCCAGCAGCCACAGCAACAGCAACAGCAAGCACCAAGTGAACCTCTGATGATGGCTGGATCTCAAGCAAAGAGATTCAAGGTCAGTCCATCCTGTGTCATCTCTCTTCTTGGCATTTCTCCATCCATGTTAGGATATAGGGGAATGATGTGGAGATTTAAGACTGACTCAGTGATTGGGAGCATTTTTGCTAGATCCATTGAGCTTCATTTTCTTGTTTTTGGCATCACTGAGGGGAGGTCATTGCAAGAATGATTTGAAATAAAGTCTTTTGTGCAGATGGACCCGGGCATGGAAATGGGTGGTTCCCCACGCCCATCCCCACCCTCCTTTTACCTAACGCAGCAGCAGATGCATGCTCTTCAACAGCAGCAACAGAGTGGAGCTGCCCTCAGCCCTCAGCAACAGCAGATGCTGGCTCAGCTCCAACACCAGCATCGACTTGTGCTCCAGCATCAGCAGCAGCAGCAGCTCAAACAGCAGCAGCAACACATCAGGTACAACACAAAATTTCTGAAAGTATGCTGTTACTAAATTTCAGAATCACTTTCACCTAGTCAGAATTTTTTATGGTGTTTGTTTTGAAAGTCTTCAAGTGTGATTAATGAAGTATCTCCCACTTTGGCATGCAGATTGGATGTGCCTCAGCAGCAGCAACAACACCCACCATCACAGTCTCAGCAGCAACAGAGACTACAGGTGTCTTATCCACCTCAGAGCCCCTACCCAAGCCCCAGTTTTGCTAACAATAGCAACACCAGTGTGCGACCAAACCTACCTCAACCTTCACCCCCGGTGTATCAGACTCAATATCAGAACCAGTTCAACCCAGACATTGGGAGTGTTGAATCTACCCAGAGTAATGGCAACAGCAACCATGTTAATGGTGGCAACAATGCAACGAGTGGTGCTGAGAGTCCAGGGCCTGGGACAGAGCTGGATGCAGAGCAGGAGCTGGAAGCCCTGCTCTCGCACAAAGAGGCTGAGGACATGCTGAAGCAGTTCATCAAGCAAGAGTTGGAAAATGCTGGGAACCTAGAAGAGCGGAAGCCAGTGTCCATGAGTGAGATCCTGGCCGATGCAAAGGAAGAAGTCATTGAAGATCCACCCAGGCCCCCTCCAACACTGTCAATCAACATGAGCTCATCACGCATCCTTGTTGGGAAGAGACGAAGCCTTGGCCTTGCTTCTGGGAAGCTGAGTGTGGGGGATGTGAGGGCAGTGATGTCTGAGGTGTGTCCTCCACCACGCCCTCCTCCACCACCTACACCGAAGATCCCACGGGATAGGCTTCTTCCTCCAACACCTAGTGTGTTTGTGGAGAACAAGAAGGAATGTCATAGTCCTCAGTTGCAGGAGTTTGTCCTGCGTCACCCTATCTCTGTCATCCGAGGCATGGCTGCTGCTCTCAAACTTGGTTTGTTTCCCCCTCTCTTTCTTCTGTCAACTTTTTCCTTTTAATTTACCACTGCCAGTCATCTAGCAGGTTGAATCCTCATTTTGGATGGACAACCCCATTGAAAGAATTATGTATCCCAGTTTTTCACAGCATCAGACCTTAAATGGAAGGAGTAAACCCATCATGAATGACAATGGTAGTGAAAAACTGGCATCCAAGCTATTTTCAGTGCTGAGAATATTCTATTAAAGGGAAACTGTTCTAATAAATGGCTGTAAATTTTCAGTGACCCATTAGTTCCTTCACCCAGCATCCCCCTACTGCTGAGTCAAATTTGTCTGCATTATTGACATATTGAGTGTTTGTTAGTAAATGCTAAGGTTTGTAAGTTCCAGTGGTACTTTTATGCTTGACTTCCCCTGAAAATTCTCTTTCACATTAGATCTGTCATATTTTTTTTTAGGCCAGTTTTTCTTCTGGCATTTCATGTTGCAAGAAAATTGAAGGATGTGAATTTTAGCTAGAGCTGTACCGATTTGAAAATTTGGTGATATGCCAATTCCCGATGTCTGTTCTTGAAAGATGACTGATACCGATCTTTGTGCATGTCTATGGGATAGGTTTATTTTTCCATAGTTACTTTAATTTAGATGACATTTAGGTAACTCTTTTGTGGGCAAATTTGTTATGTGTAAATTACAAATTTCATGAAATTTTTCCCACTTGGGGAGGCTTTTATCTTGAGAAATTCCAGTTTTTCCCCTCCAAACAAGAAATGTTCATATTTGTGATGGGAACCTTTCCTGATTATGGTCACTAGTAGATGATGTGAGTGTGAAAGAGGGGGAGGAAGCCCTCCCAGGGCACTAGAATCAAACATATTCTTGGAAGAATTATTCTCACTGCCTACAAAGTAGTTAACTTTAATTAGTTGCATTAGTTCTACATTGGGCATGTAGTGAAAAATCTCTACAATGACTCTTTTCATATTAACATCATGAGTTTTTTTGAAATCCCCAAAAATCACAAGTAGTGCCTCATACCACAGGAAAATTAGCCATAAATATCAGATTCTGTTTTCACAGAAGGTTGATTTTGATAAGCAATTACTGTTGGCTCCTTGCATTGTTCATTTGTCAGTGGAATGTCTTGAGAACTAGCAGAGATTTAGTCTGATTATGAGAAAATTAAACTTCCTCCAGTATGAATCCCAGTTGTAGATGGAGTTGTAAAGGTGGCAGGAAATGAAGTGATGAATGAAGTCCATCATGTCAAGTAGTTCATATGTAACCTCACTGAGTTCAATAGACTAACTATCTCAAGTTTTGGCATTTTTAGGGCCACTCTATCAAGGCTTTGCACAGCTTTGCAGCTCACATTAAAGTGGAATGAGAGATTGAGCAGTTAAATTTTTTATCAAGCAGTAATATTATGAAAAAAAAATCATAAGAAAATATTATGCCTATTTATATTTGATAAAGGGAGCAAGTATTCTCTCAGCCAGCTAATCATCAACATCTAGAATTTCAGTCCAAGCTTTGACTCAAATGCTCCACATTTTTCTCATGGGCTGTGGTCACAAACAGCTTATTATTAAACTGTTACATCTTGTGCTATTCTTTCCTTGTACATGATTTTAACATTCCCAGCCTTTTAGACAGCAAGCTAAGCTCTACCAATTTTGTTTGGTTTCCAGTCATGCTCAAATTTAATTTGGAATGCCATGAACTTTGGATTCAGGTGTGCATTCAGCTTCTAGTTCTTCCAGTAGGTTGCCCTCATTATTGTCATTTATGGGCTGGGCCTAGGCCCTCTCTCAGAATCTTGTATGAACCCATTTGACATTAGATATGAGAGGAGTTCATGAGTATCTCAGGAAGACAGAGAGGTGGTAACATCGATCATCAGACTGTGAATAGTAAAGCTTGTGAAGAAGGAAAATGACTGCTGTCCAAGCTCCCTCGCCATACTTGCTGAAACATGATGTGTTCAGGGAGTGCCAGGAAGAGGAGCAAGATTAATCAAAGCATCTCTTTTGGAAGCAGCATGAGGGTTTCAATGAAATGCTCCCTGTTGTGCCGAAAAAAGAGATACAGGGCTCTGGCTTGGTTACTCCTGCATTTGTGTCAGCATAGTCTACATATGCAACCTTGTTATTCAATTTTACAATTTTTTTTTCAGACCTTGGGCTGTTTTCAACAAAGTCATTGGTGGAGGCTCACCCAGAGCACCGAGTGGAGGTGCGGAACCAAGTGTTCCAGACCCCAGATGAAAACTGGGATCCCTTGACTGGGAGGAAGGCTTGGCGATGTGAAAGCCATCGATCTCATACCTCTGTCGCCAAATATGCCCAGTACCAGGCCTCCAGCTTTCAGGACAGCTTGCGGGTATGAGAATGTGCTTGTTCTGTCTTAATGGGGTTCCTGCAGACTTAGGCAATTAGGAAAAACCAAAGAAATTGGAGAAGGTTGAATAGAAAAAGATGAAAGAAAAGGGTGGAGAAATTTGGGAAAGTGTCCATATTAGATTTGACAAAATGTCAACTACTATGCAAGGAAAAATGGCAATGGAAGATGGTTGTGTACAAAAGGGCACATCTTAGTCAGTTAAGTTACTTTGTGTGATCGATCAATGATTATAGATATTAAATAGCTAGATAATGACTACCTCCTACAATAATGGTTTGGTAGCTAAGGTTCCATGTGTTGTGTTTTCATTGAAAGCCATAAGGAGAGAGCATTCAAGTGTGATTTTGGAAATGGTGGGGGAGGGTTTGTTGAGGCCCCCTAATTCAGCAGAAATTGATCTTTATTGCCAAAAGTTAATGTCGAGTGCATTCCTTCATTAGATGAGTGTCATTTTCTGTTTCTGTCAGTTGTTCGATAGGCATGTCATTTTATAATGTGAATTATGGAACACCTTATTTTCTTGCATTCAGGAAAAGTTCAAAATTGAATTTTTTAAAAATCCTCTAAAGATAACCCTTGGTCCAATATATTGAAAATGTTAATATGACTTTTCAGCAGTTGTTTGTAATATTCTGGCAGATTAGTGGTTTGCATGCGAGTTTCTTCATTGAATTCAAATATGCCATCTGTGCTAGAATTTGGCAGAACACCACATGCTATCAAGGTGGCTGCCATAGGAGTCATTTTTTTTTTGCTTAAAAATAGTTTTCCTGTCTCAGAGAAAAGGCATCTTCATGAAATAGCAGTCCTAAAATTGCTCCACTGAACCAGGTTCTCAAAGAAGCAATTGTAGGAACCCTGATAATATTTTTCATGAAGATGGAAGGGGTGGGATATGGATGTTTGCTTGTTTCATTTGGAACAGGAGGAGCATGAGAAGAACACAGGTGTTCACAAGGACAGCTCGTCAGCAGATGAGAGTGGGAATCATGGCCCCAAGAGGAAGAATGGAAAACTCCAAGGCCGAAAAATGATAAAATTTGGAACAAATGTTGACCTCTCAGATGAGCGGAAGTGGCGATTTCAGCTGCAAGAGCTGATGAAATTGCCTGCCTTTGCCCGTGTTGTCTCAGCAGGAAATATGCTCTCCCATGTTGGGCATGTCATCCTTGGCATGAACACTGTCCAACTCTACATGAAGGTCTTTTCCTCAATCACATTCTTGCTCCTTGTTTCATCTATATTGATAAGGCATACCTTAGTATATGGAATGCTTGTTTTTTTTTTTCCTGTCACAGGTCCCAGGCAGTAGAACTCCTGGTCACCAGGAAAACAACAATTTCTGTTCTGTGAACATCAACATTGGGCCAGGGGACTGTGAGTGGTTTGGAGTACCTGATGGCTATTGGGGTTCCCTTCATGACCTCTGTGAAAGGTATGAGGTGTCCTTGTTTTTGCTGTTAGGAACAGGATCCTTCAGATTTGAGAAGGCAGTCATGGGATTTATCTACTTGAAAGGAATGGTGTGGATTACCTGCATGGCTCCTGGTGGCCACTATTGGAAGACATGCTAGATGAAGGGATTCCTCTATACAGGTTCACCCAGAAACCTGGTGACTTTGTCTGGGTTAATGCAGGTTAGTTATCTCTGCATCCCATCCTTGATCCTTATCTCAAACTTTTTTTCTGTGCTCCTTTTAATCTGTGCCATTCATCAGATGTTATTGGGAAGTTTTTTAAATTTAAATTCCTATCTGAATTGCTCTGATTGAATATGAAGTTATATCCTCAAGCAGCTGAATAGAAGGTAATTTCCAATTAAATAGTCTCTGGATTTAGCAGTGGGTTGCAGGTTTCAGTTTTGCTTTCAGTCTTGGTTTCATTGACAGTTTTTTTTAGACTTTTTCCTTGTTATTGTTGCATTTTAAAGAATTTAGTGTGGTGTGTAGTTTCAGGTAACATTAACTGAAAGCAAAGTCATGCAGTGTTTGGTAATTCAATATCAGCAGTACTAGAATGAAACTGGTTAGTGTTTCAACGTGTACTTTTGCTTTTTTCTGTGTTTGCTTTTCTTTACCACTTTCTGTGATGGATATTATTCCCCCCCACCTCTGGAATCTAATCTTGAGTAGGTCTCATATTACTCCTGTGACTTGTTATTTAGTCAAACTCTCCGCAGGAAGACAGGCTTTTACAGATTCTATACATATCTGAGGTTCAGAGCATAGGTTTCACTATGAAAATCCAAGTATACAATCTTTATCATCACTGGATGCAGAAGTATTCAATATATTAACAGTGAGCTCAGGGTGAGGTTCCACATCCTTCATTGTTGGCTTCTCCTGTAAACTTCTAGTATAGATATCAGAGTGATGCCTATCAAATAAAGCAAGTGATGCTCATACAATATCCAATAGATCCTCCTGAGTCCCTGTGACTGACACTTTTACTCACCTGATGCATTTATGAATCATAGTTACTTCCTGTTGAGATGGAACTGTGAACAATAGAACGTAGTAATAGTCATGTTTCCCCCCCCCCCTCTTCCCATTCCCTTTTCCAGGTTGTGTCCACTGGGTGCAAGCACTAGGCTGGTGCAACAACATAGCATGGAATGTTGGTCCATTAACAGCTGAACAGTACAGGCTTGGTGTTGAGCGTTACGAGTGGAACAAACTGCGACAGTTCAAATCCATTGTCCCGATGATCCACCTGTCATGGAACCTGGCCAGGAACATCCGTGTCTCTGATCCACGTCTCTATGAACAGATCAAGTACTGCCTCCTGCGGACATTGCGGCAGTGCCAGCTGGTGCTTCAGTATGTGAAAGCGCTTGGAGTGGAGGTGCGCTATCATGGGCGGGGGAAGAATGAAACCACACACTACTGTGGACAGTGCGAGGTAATGGTCAGTTTCTTTAATGATGGAACCCAGATGAAAATTGGTCAATATTTGGTACTCATATGCCTTTAAAGAGCCATGACAATTATTTTGAATATCAGTCAATTGAAAACCTGACAATGACCAAAAATTAATGTTTTTTGTTTACACAGTTAGAGAATCAGAGACTTAATGAGTGACTAGACTGCCTGTTGCAGCGTTGCTTGCAAAACAATATTTAAAAGATTTTTTATGGCAAAATAGAACTTATTTCATCTATGGCCCAGAAAGGCATAGTCTTGTAGGCCTTGCTCATTAGCCATCGCATGAAGCCCACAAGGCTATGCCTTTCCATAGGCTAGGCCATAAAAACCTATGATTCCTGACATATGTTGCACCCTGTATAGGACAAGGACGGGGTTCCAATTGGTAAAGGGGTCGGGATCCCGATAAATATATAGGCAGAGTCTCATCCTGACGAGGAAGTCATCCCTCCAGGGATGTAAAGGGATTCCCAAGTGTAATACGCAGGGACATTTTACATGTCCCTGCAGAAAAGTCCATATTGGAGTTGTGAACACAGAGTGGGGGGGAGGAGGAGGGTGCATAGAATGCCTCTCTCTCCTGTTGTAGTGTTAGGGACTACACCATGGAACCCGTGGTGTAGTGCTAACACGCCTGATCATTAATCAGGAGGCATAGGATTCGATTCCTGGCCGTTCCATTTTGTTTTTTAGTCCTCTCATGTCATCTGAACTCTTCTCCCCCCTCCCCCCCTCGGGCTATTACGTTCCACAGTGGTCCAGAATGACTAAAAACCTGGCCAAAAATGACGTTTTGAAGCATTTCTCCTTTCTTTTCTCCAAATCTTTGATGTAATCACTGTATATTCTAGATTCTTTGTTTCTGCCTAATGGTTTTTGGAATTGTTGAAAAAGTCACCAAAAACTATGAAATGCTGCAGTGATAGCCATCATTTGAGACCACTGCGTTGTTTCAAGGGGATAAAAGCTCTTCAAGAGTTGTCTAGTCAGGGTAGGTATTAGTATTAAGACTCAAATTCTGCATCCAGCCATGGCTCATTTTTGATTCAGGAATACACTCTGATTTTGGCCTGCTTTTGCCATCTCTGCCTCATTTTCCTCCTCAATTCGCCAATTGCTCGACACTGCTTCTGCAGATCCATGGGGTGGGGGGTTTGATTATGAAGTTCTTTGGAGGACATATGTTGATCGATACCTTCATATCTCCCATTTTGGAGAAAATGTCTTTCGGGATCTCAAGTCACAATTGGGTGAATATGTCCCTCTGAGTTAGGTTTCTAGGACCTAGGGAGGGAGTAAAAAAAACCATCGTTGTGAGTATACTTGCAGAGTCTCTGAGCAAATTGGGGGTCACATGTCAACACTAGTAGTGTGGGAGTATGCATATGTGTTTTTAGTTACAGCCATCCACGGCCATCTGTAAGGAAATCGAGATTGAAAACTAAATAGATAAACTTTACCATCCATCATGGAGCTTTTCGTTCCTCGACTGTAATGTAAGGGATTGGAGGGACAAATACTCACCTGCCTGGCCTTCAAACATTGATGTTCAATGTGAGATCAAATTAAATTCACAACTATCGACAGCCTGTGGAAAAATAAGGAAAACATTTTCCGTTCACTGAGTGTTAGTGAACCTCCCCTCTTTGTTTCGGAACAGTCCTACTCCTTAGAGACGGGATACAGTGTTGCTTTTTCGGTGTTGCCTTGCACTTATGTACATTTCAGGATGAGACAGGATCCATTATCATTCCTTGTTAATTTTTTTGCCCTGTTATGTTAAACACCATAGCAATTTATATGGTTGTGTTTTCATGATTGTTCAGTGGGAGGTGTTCAATGTGTTGCTGGTGAAGGAGCAGGACAAACGCCACGTGGTGCACTGTCATGAATGTGCCAGACGCATCTCGCCCACTCTTGAGGGCTTCCTCTGCCTTGAGGAATATTCCATGAAGGAGCTCATACAAATCTATGACAATTTCGTCCTCAACCCGGTTTGCTCATCCTCATTTCTGGTTTTGATTCTGTTTCTTCTGGTCTTGAATGATTTTTTCTCATTCCTTGCTATTGCAGAGTTCCTCAAAACAACCACCAATCCAGCATGTCACATGACCGTAGTCATGGACACGGGACATTCACGTTGGTACAAAATGTTTATGCCAGTGTCTATTAAGTGTGGAAGGTGACCTTTCCAAGGATCGTCCCTTGTGTCATGTCTTTCAACATAGCAGCATCTCACTGCCAGCTGAGGGAAATGGTTTTTTTTTGGGATGTTATGTTGATTTTGCTCAATCTGTTCCTCCTGTTATTTGCACTGCCCTCTGGACCGTGTTTGCCTGATTCTGGCTTCTATATATTCCTCAAATGTGATACCTGTACAGGAAGAAGGAAGTTCTTCCTTGGGCTTTGCTTCTTCACAGATGGTAAACAGTGAGTGGGTTAAAACATGGAAAGGAAAATAATGATCATCTTCATCTCAGGTCCAACACTGCAATGGGTGGCATGCATGTTTGTATATGTGAGCATGAGCAAGTGAAATGTCCGTCTTGCTTGGGCAGTTGAAAGGCGAAATTTTGCAGCTTCTTAGGGGCATGTAATTGAAGTAAATAAATAAAAAACCTGCTGTCTGTGTTTCTTGGCGATTGGATCCTAGAGGCTTCTTGGCATTTTTGAGTTTGAGTCTGCCACTCTAACAGAATTCAGGAATCCCTATTTCTTGATCTCAGCCTTGGATAATTTTGCATATTATATGTCCAGTATTAGGCAAGGGAAAGAGAAAGGATGGGTGGGAAAAATGGAAGACTTTTATTTGGCAGTTTGTCGGGAAACAATAGACATGAACAAGATTGCAAGAGCGAGATTGAGATTTGGTTCCCCAAAGGAATCCTTTTATGAATTTGTATAATAACCTTGTGAGTCATATGTTTAAGTTATTCCCTGGACACCATATTTGGAGAATAAAAGTCTTAATTCATAATGGGTTGTGTCTGCAATTGCATCCATGAGCAACTGGTCTACTTCAAAGAAACTGCCCAATGAGAATGCTGTATTCACAAGGGCTGTATTATCCTCACCTGGTCATTCACCACAAATGCAATAGACAACTTCCACCTGTATGAATGAAGTGGTTTCGGGTTTTAATGGAAGGCTTCTGTAAGTAGGATGACTGGGTTTTTTGTTGCCTTGAACTAAATGGAGCTGCATGTTCTTTTGGCAGAGCTGTCATATCCCTTGCATCTGTATGAGATTTGGTTGTAATTGGTTGGCAGGGGTCAGTCAAAGTACACGTATGCAAAAGAGTTCTGAAGTTGTAGCTTTGGGTACAGAGGGACATATTCCAACTGTTCCACTTTCACCAATGCTGTTATGCTTATTGCAAATGTTATTTGTCACATGTATTGTTTTGTAACCCAAGATATTCTAAAGACAAAAGCTTTTATACCTTCACAAGCCTTTAAATTAAATTTGTCCACTTGTGAGCCTGTTATGAAGGTTGAAGATACACTGCCCTCCAAAAGTCAGGCAACACTTTTTCATGATTGAAATTTGCAACACCTGTGAAGATTTTTATATCTTCAGACAGCTTAATCTGTTACCTTTGCTAAGTGCCAACTTATGTCATGATTTGGGCCATGGTTTGTCCAAAATTCTCATCAGAATTCATCTGGTTCAGTTTTACAGCCTGGAACAATTAAGTTCTGTCCCCAACCAATTGTTGAAAAGCCTATTTCTCTTCTTGCATGCCATGTGAGAAGCACATTTTCTTTATGCACCTTAAGGAAATGACTAATGTCAATGTTCTCCAAAACTCTTGACTATTTTTTCATGATGCAACATCTCGATACCTACAAGTTACTACTTGGTTTGCAGGTAACAATTAATAGTCCTACTCACAACAGAAATTGATACCAAGATGGCGAGAAATGGCCTGAAATGATCAGGCAGCTTTGAAATGAAGGGAAACAATTCTCCAGTGTTTGGACTAAGACACCATGTTTACTCATTGGGCTTGCCTTGGAACAGGAATGGAGACAGGGTGATGTTTTTGTCATCGTTCCAGGTGGCAATTCCAAACCAGATTATTGCCAAGAAAATTTTGGGGATACAATAGCTCAAACCCTGATGGTAATGGCTGCTTTGCATCCAAAAAATATTTTTTTCTATCTTCATGCCATAGGTACCAAGATTTTGTATCATGAAAAATATTGAGAAGAGTTTTGGAGGACACTGACAGGAGCCTTTTCTCTTAGGTGCAGAGAGAAAATGTGCTCACATGGCATGCAAGAAGAGATGTAGGCTTTCCATCAATCGGTTGGGGAGAGATTTTAATTGCTTCATGTTGATAAACCAGGAATTTTGGATAAACAATGGCACAAATCAAGAAATGAGTGGGTGCTTTGCAAAGGTAACAGATTAAGCTGTCTGAGGATATAAACATTTTCACAGCTTATGGTACTGAGAATTTCGATTCCAAAAAAGTGTTGCAAGACTTTTGGAGAGCAGCATATTTCATTTCATGCAGAACAGAAACAGTAAGATAACCCCTTGTAAGAAATTGAGGAACAGACTTATCTGGTATTTAATTCATCAAAAGCAGGGAATATTCTGCATTACCTTCTGTACCTTTGGGTACAGCAGGACATTTTTTAATGTCAGCAATCAGGAGGAAACTATCACTTTGATGAGTGCCTTGATTTTTTTTTGTCAGAAATGTGCATTAATGGATAGGTAAAAAAAATCCAATAAATTTCATAAAATTTTTTGGTCATTCCATGTGAAATCAAACCAGTCAATACCTGACCCACTTTGATTTGGTGGGCTTGTAGAGTCCATTAAGAAAGTAATTAACCCCAAATTTTAACTCCTTAGGTCATGTACAGGGTGGGTCAAAAGTAAGAAAACGTGTTTGATCTACAAAACCTTTATTGAAAAGCAATGGAACTTGGTAATGATACACACAAAAGCACATGTCTATGAAGGATTTATAGCCATAAAATTACAAAAAATGCTCTGTGTCCACTGCTCAAGTCTTTGCACAACCGCAGTCTTACTGGTACTGTTAGGTGAATTCACCGGCAAGCTCCACTTTGGCAATAATAGTGTCCTTTAATGCTGGAAGAGTCTGAGATTTCATCGCATGCATGGTGTCTTTCATTGAACCTCATAAAAAGAAGTCAGCGGAAGTAAAGCACAGAGACCATGTGGTTAGCATAATAAGCCAATCTTGCCTTAAGATTTCCTCAATTCATTTGAAATGCCATGGGAGGAATGATTTCTCCATTCAGCTTTACAAGATAGCAGTCTGCTATCTTCATTCAAGATGGTGCTCTGGTCTATTAATCTTGCCTCATTTGCGACTTGGGCAAAAAGTTTTGTGCTCAGTGGATCAGGCAGCATGGGTCGATTGATTGGCCAGCATGATTGTTGGGCTTAACTTCAGCTGACTTCTTTTCATGGGGTTCAATCAAAGATATTGTGCATGCAATGAAATCTCTGACTCTTCCAACACTAAAGGACACTATTATTGCCACAAAGCAGAGCTTGCCAGTGGAGTTATGCCAGTGAGTTTACCTAACACTACCAGTAAGACTGCAGTTGTGCAAAGACTTCAATTGTGAATACATTGAGCATTTTTGTGAAAAGTTTTATGACTGTAAAAACTTCATAAATGTGCTTTTGTGTGTATCACTGCCAAGTTCCATTGCTTTTCAATGAAGGTTTTGTAATAGTTCATATGTGTTTCCTTACTTCTGGCCCACCCTGTATTTGAGGCACAGCTTTGAAATAATGCCTAAATGTGCAATATTTTTGTACAGTTGTCACCACTGTATGGCCATAGTTACCATATGTTTTATCCTAGCTAACTTAGAGGGAAGAATTTGGTGTAATTTTAAAGGTATTTCAATGCCCTTTCACATTATATGTGATCTTTATTGTTTAAATGAATTGCATTTGAAGCAGTGAGCAAAATATCTTAAACTTGGCAGAAGTCTTCCCTCATTCATCTGATATGTCACATGCAAAAGGGCATGGGACTCATGTATCTAGCATTTATTTTCTTAAATCAAAAGATATTTTTCTTTTTAGATAGTGTACTGTAGAAAGGGGTGAGTTGATCCAGGGGGTGAAATGAATGAATGGTTTCCACTGTTTTTTCACAACATTTTTTGGCATTATTTCTTGAGTATTTTTAGTTGAAATTTGCTCATTTAATATTATTATATGATAGTTTAATTTAAAATAATAAATAATTACTATGCCATCAAGCATGTTTTTTATGCTCAAAGTTTTATTTTTGGAGGGACTTAAAATTTCATATATGAATTTTTTGTGCCAATTCCTAGCAGTTGCAAATCTTGTTAGTAGAGTAGAGTAGATGGCCAGCAATGCTTTCTTTCTTATGAATAATTCCTGGCATGTTCTTGTAATTTTCCCTCCAATCTCAAATTTTGCTGAGAATGGGGTGAAATGAATCCACTTTATTTATAAGCTATGGAGCCACAATAAAGGACTCTAATACTCTAGGGTTATATTTCAAGTATAAAATGATTTATGAAATTTTAGTCAATATAAATCTAAATTAATGCCTTGACCTTTAAGACATGCCACAAAAAACAAACTCAAGACTGGTACCAGACCCTACCAAAACTACTCTGGAGTGCTTGGAGCTGCCTCTGAGGCAGCTAAAAAAGGGTGAGATCTCAAAGACATGCAAAACAACATTACACAATAGCAAGATCAACTTTGCAAAGAGGAGCAATAAGCATGCACACCATAAAACCTGGAGGCCAGTGCCCTGAACCTGTCAAGGTATGGCTTTCCTTTGAACCTTACTGATGTTAGACAGAAAAATACACAGTGTCAATTGTAGTGGATATTTTATATTTTCTTGTTTAAAAGCAACTTGGATGCATTTTTTTGTGAAATGAATGACAGGAAATTCCTTTCAACGTATTATTTACAATTCTACAGAAATGGAAACTGAGAACACTTCCTCTGTTTTGACACATTTTAACAACAGGTAACAGCAGAATTCTTCAAATGCCTGAAATACAAAATTTCCATGTCTATTGACAGTGCATATAGTGATAAAGATTATTGACCATTACTGTATGGATCTAAATCTGTGTCAACATTGGCAGCTGGATATTTTCTACACAGCTTGCAAGCACTTGCTAGCTGAGTAGTGCAACTGTTCTAAAAATTAACTTTTGGCAGAGAAGCCACTATTGATGTGTTATCAGAACATTTTCCCAAAAAGTTTGATACAGCACCTGTACCTTTGGGCCATGGAAAAATTCATCCTGCAGGACAGTGGTTGTCCCTTTCATCCACTAAAGGTTAAATATATTCCAGTATATCAATTGCTGGTGTTTTCAATTAACATAAAATAAATTATTGTATAAAAGTTCTTAACCTCTTATTTCTGAATGAAACATGTTAGTTTTAAACCCTATGTGACTTCTTTTCCAGGATACCACCTTTTTTTAAATCATGAAATGGAAAACTTTTTCCTAAAATGTTTAATTTTAATTTAATTTAACCCATATTTTGAACAGATTGGGATTACAGTTATGGTGAAAAATAAAATTAATAAAGTGCATATTAATTCAGAAACTCTACATCAAAGTTGTAAAGTGAAGCCAACTCACCCAATGCTACAGCACATTTGTTTCCATGATATAGCAAGGTCTCACCCTTCTTTGTGGTCTTTTGTCATCTCCATTATTTCCTTTCTCCAAATTACCTTGCAAGCTGCACCTTGGGCCTTCCTGATTTAGACAAACGACACTGCACAAGGGTTGGAGGCCATATGATGCAGCAACCAAAACGTTGACCTACCATCCAATGTCTTGTTGAAGGCTCTAATCACTGAGAGGTGGTTCTCTGTAGGGCTTGCCTTAGCAGAGGGGACTCTGGTATACCCTCAGAGTGGAAGATAATTTCATAATTTCAAAAATGTTCCCACAGCTATTTATGTGGTTTGTGTGAACCTGATATTCTCTCTTGTTGAGACGTTGGGCGAGTTCAAATCGGGTGTTAGTGTCGAGAGGCTTCTCCTAACACCAACTTTGGTGTTAACATCAACTCCAACACTGACAGGAATGTTCACACCAATGCTAACACTGGCATGGAACCCAGAAAAACAGCACCATCTTGGGGATGCTTTCATTTTTCTCTTAGGTTCAATGCTTATAAAATTGAAGGGTTAGGCATTGCACAGCTAATGATCAGTGGCAGACTCATGAAATGTGATTTCAAACGAATTACAACAACTTTACCTATGCCTATATCTTCTCATTAGGTCTATGTTGGTATGATGAATACTGTCTCCCATACCTTCTAGGCTGTTTTGCAGTAACAATTAGATCTTGTAAAGGACAAATTCATGAGTAGAAAGCATTCACTATTGGAGTTGGAAACTTTTGATAGAATGCAGTGATATTTTCAGTCCCAGTATCATTGTTCAGAGGCTTCAGTCAAGAAGTGGCTGAAATGCCGTTGCCACGCTGGAGAAACTCTATTTTCTTTTGCCAGGGGTTCCAGGAGCAAAAGACACACCTGAATTTTTGTCTGAGAGCATGACAGTAGTAGAGTTCAGTTATGATGGCACTTCTGCTGAGGCACCTTGTTATAAAGTACATAACATGTGCATACTTGGGATGTCTTGACTCTTTCCTTTTATCTCTCTGAAAACATCACACAATACTTGTCTCTACTTACTGCCAGTCACTTATGCTACTAACACCACTTTTGAACTCGCTCTGGTGTTAACCCCTAGGGATTAGTGTAACACCCAATAATGAAGTATAGGGAATCCCCTCCACACCAACCACCAAACTGGGATTAAGATGGCATTTTATGTTTGACCTGGTGTTACACCAGTGTGAAACACTAAGAAATCACGGCGTTACACCAACACCACAGGGCAAGTTCAAATCTGGTGTTAAGGGGTGGAGTTCATGTTACATGGAACACTAACATGGAACACCAACACCAAATTTGAACTCACCCATTGTATTCTTGAAGGCTTGAAAGGAAATAAGTCAAAAGAATGCAGGTCTGGCAGGTCTCATATGTATAATTTTTGAGAGTGACAACAAAAGGGATGGGCTGTAAGTTTGCCTTTCTTCTGCAAATTTGTAGGAAATCATCTCCAGAGGACAAAACAGACATCAGTTCATGGGACCACAAAAATATATCTCAATATTACAAAACACTGAAAGAAATGTCTCATGAGGGCGGAGTCAAGCATTGTATAGTGACATTTTTGGCAATGTGATCACATGATGAGAAATCCAAATAGAGGAGACAAACCAACAAAAGGGTGTACTGAATCCTTTCAAGGATTTCATGCATACCTATCATAAATTGCTTGAAAGAGGAAGGAGATGATCGAAGGAACCTCCTTGTAAATGGATACAAGTTCAAAAAGAATATCAAAAGAAAACAAGTTCTATGATGCAACCTTAGTTAAAAATTAAAAATAAAACTTGGTGGAAATAATCCTGGGAATTCATAGAGTCCCATTAGAACACGATGAAGCAACTGTATAATAACCAGGCATCTTGAGACTAATCTGATGCATGAAGAGCAGATTATACTGGAAAACAAAAATGATGCAATGAGTTCCCAAGCTATAGGAAAAAAAAGCAGTCAACAACATTCTCAAAAAAGGATGTTCACCATATGGAACATTGGAATGCAAGCCTCTCAACTCTCCCTGAAGTATCATCTAAGATCAAACTGGCAAATTGGCACACATTTTGCAGGTCATCACAAGCTGCCAGGATAGTCTTTTTTTTTTCATTGAACAATCCAGGCCTTTATCCTTGAATTTGGTCTTTCATGACAATAAAAAACTTAAAAAAAACTAACAGAGATCCCCAAATCAAAGCTCATGCAAACATGCAGGTTACATTACAAATCTAAGTCAGCTGCTTCTTTTGAATTGGCACGACTGGAGCAGTCTTGAGCAGAAGAATGAAGACAGAAGTGTTAATGCATATCACTTCAGACAAGAAGGCAGTACAAGGAAATACTGAAATGCTTAGGCTTTGGGCCTATTGAGCGGACTAGTAACAGGTAATGGAAGTGACAGGAAGTGGCATTGTATCACAATTCGGTGATGGGCACCGGTTTGGAAGGATCTGAAGAAGGAGGGATGTACAATGTCCTCCCCCCATTGCTGAACTGAGTTGGATGATACATAATGGCAGAATAGCGATCACTCACCACTGAGCCTCGATTGCTAGCACCAGTAGGAGGTGGCCTCTTCTCAAGGCGCCGGCGGCGGAGAAGCCACACGATGATGGCCACAATCCCTGCCACAGCAGACCCAATCCCAGCAATCAGGCCCAGAATCAAGGCCAGATTGGAACTGGGTGATGGTTCCTCCACACATCCCTGGAGTTTTAGGTCAGACACGAGGGTGTCATGAAACTTTGCTGGGGTGTGACAGGATGCATTGTGATGCAGAGGGAGTCTCTGGAGCCAGAGGATGTCACAGTCACAATTCAGGGGGCAACCATGCAGGTCAAGGACATGGAGGTCACGCCAGGCAACTGCATGACGGCCCAGGTGTGTCAATCCTGAACCCCGGAGATGTAGCTCCCGCAGAGTCAATGCTCCAGTGAGGCTCTCATCTTCCAACACCTTGAGATCTGGAACAGCAAAATGAAAAGATAACACCATGATATTTGGGTCATTCTTAACTGAGGCGTCTTTCTGCATGGACATACACCCTTAACCTAATCCATGATTATTCAAAGACTGATGTTCTTGAATGCATACTCCTCATCAAAGAACTATGTCATATGCAATTGATAATCGATCAGGCCAGTGAAATTCCCTCTTAACAGTGGCAAGCATGTTTTGGAGTCTAGCAAGTGGAAAAAAAACCGATAAGTGAAAACCTAAGAAGTAACTCCCCCCTACTTTTCATGCAAGTTTCTGTCTTCCAGCCCCTCCCCTTCCTTGGACAATTTTACATCCCACTGCACCACTCATTGGTGTTCATACAAATACAGAGTGTTCATGAATTATAGAAGGTGTTTTTAAAATTTACAGATTGAAAACTATTGGGAACAAATTGATTGGGTTTGCAGTAAACAGTAGCTAAACATTTAAAGTTTTTACCGTTTAAACTTACCTCTAGTAAACTTCAATATGGGCACCATTTGGCATTCTTGTCGTTGGTGGTCTACATAAGGCCAGTGGTCTACACCCTATATTTATTGATGTTCGTCCAGTCTTTGGTGGTCTACAAAGCAATACCCATAACCCTTCAAGGTAGTGAGACACAATGAGCATGTCAATGTAACCCTCATGGAAACACTCGGTGAAAATCTTTCAATAGGCTTAAAAATATATCCGTGTGTTGTTAATTAAGTGCCACCAACATTCTTTCAGATGTCGTGGAAGCATGTCTTGGTTGGTGCTGTGCATTTTCCTAAGAATCTTCAATTTCAATACTGACCACAGGGATTCAACTGTCTGCGTATTGGCACCAGTTATAGGATCGACAAAGTTTGTCTGGTGGTTCACAGTTTCGCGTCGATATCCATACTGGTTCAATGTGGCGTAAGCAGCCCACTCATTGGGCACAATCAATGTTCCTGGTGCAACCTCATTTTGAATGATTGGGAGCAAAGTTTCCCTATCACAATGATCAACTACAAAATAGCGTCTTTCAATGATCTTCCTTCCATCCAACTCATGGTTCCAGCAGATGCCAAACACCCACGGCCCCAACAATCGACATCCATGGGTACAATTATTCTCTATTCCTCCTGCATCTGAGTCATCAGATGGAAGCTCTTTTGCTGGTAAATTTCCAGCTAGGAGCAGACCACAATTAGCCTTCCTCTTTTCCCGGAGAAGAGCCTCATTGATTTCCACTCATTGATCATTCCCTCCCATTGGCTCTCTCAAGTCAAACACATGAACACACATATCTCAACACAAGTTAAACCAATCATTTTTGGTGTGGGCACCACAACCCATTAATATTGAAACAGTCACTTGTGGAATGTCCAGTGCCCAGTAGTAGCACAGTTCTAAGATCTTCTAAAGGGAGAGGTGGCCATTGCAGTGTCCGTTCACATCTGTGAATGTGAAGAAGTCCTTCCCTTTGCGAATCGATTGGTGCGTTTGACATCCACGTCTGGTGCACCTCAATGTGTGGCATTCCCTGACAGAACCATCAGCAAGCTTCTTCTTGCGTATTGTGGATTTCACCTCACTTCCACACCTCCAGTAATTCGGTAAATCGTCCACACTCTGCAGCAGCCCATGCTCATGCAAGAATGCAACACAACTCTCTTTGGTAGCAATCACGGAGTAAAACTCAACAGCCTTCATGATGAAGGTGGAATGAGAATATGGCTCTAAGAGTTCTCATAATTTATAGGTTCAAGTCTTTCCCTTGAAGACTATCCCTGATGCTCAGAGGATTAAGAGATTATCCCTTTACCTGGTGTGGGTGGAATTAATCCTTTTTCTAGAATTGTCAGGGAGGTGTGGTGTCAACAAGGCTAAGGTTCATGATGAGATAAGCCATCAAGATAAGGTGAATTCAAGTCGGGACTCCAAAATTTAAAAAATGTTATGGAACCTTAGCACATAAATTTTTTTACGTGTTTTGGTACGTAGACCACTAATGACCAGAGAAATCATCAATGTAGACCACCAATGACAAGAATGCCCACTATGGCAAGCTCTGCACACATCCAGGCAATATTCATTCTCTGCCTGTGTTTTTTCAAGCACTTCTGGCTTGATTATTGAAACTGCATCTCTTATTCTCTCTCATAATATGTCCTAACTTGATACTTCCATCTTGTACACAATGGATGGATTGCATGAAACTAATGCCAGCATTAGCCTAAAGCTGTATTAGCTAAAGGAGCTTTAAAGTGAGGCATTGCACAAAGAAATTTAAAGTTACATTAGCTAACTGACACTAGCGCTTCCTAATGTGGATTAGTGACTCCGATGACGTATATCAGGGACCTGCAAGAATGTTGTCCGCTTCGGCAATGCTCAAAAATGGATTTTTTCCTAATCAATGCCCACAGAAGTACTAGTGTGTGTCAAAAATCACAGGACATCTGCGATTGTAATGTAGGGTATGTATATAAGTAGCAACGCACATAGTACTGCTTGCTAGAATATCAGCGCCATGAAAACAGTAGTCTTTGGCTTTGCTGTCATCTTGTGTGCCTCCTACAGTTACAAAAAGGGGAGACTATGGGTCTTGATTGCACCAAGGAAGAGTTGCGTTTTGTGACCTGTTTATTGATCGAAGATGGCATGAATGGCCATTCAATTTTTTGCTGACTCAGGGCAGTTAACGATAGCTGTATTATTGAAAGAAGCAATGTTTATGAATTGGTGCGAAAGTTCTGAAGTGGAACAGCGAGTGTTGCAGACACAGCGCGTTCAGGCAGGCAACACTAATCAAATGATTCAAGATCCATGACTGCAGACATCCATGAAGCAGTAAGGAAGTGTGTTGAGCCAGCAGGATGTTCCTCTTCGGTGCTAATGGAGGTTTAAAGTAGGGTCATCGTAGTATTAAACTAACATGGAATTTAATGCTGCGTTAGGCTAATTTCTTTTCACGCAATCCGCATTAAAAATCTCCACTAAAGTAGCTTAACTCCACCCCTAATAGAGGTTTAAAGCTGGCATTAGGCTAATGTCAGTTTCATGCAATCCACCCAATGTCTTTTATATACCCCCACAAAAAAATCCAGGTCATGTCTAGTGGATGCCACAAAATAATGTTCCACTAGTACTTCAATTTCTTTAATAACCCCTGGGCACCTATTCTTCATCTAGGAGATCCAACCAATTGACAAAGACAAGAAAGAAAGAGAGACCATGCGTGAAGGTGAGGTTGAGCATACGGAGATTGAGAAGGCCGAGGAGTGCGTGGGGGTGAATGTGTTTGAGTTCCCTGCACTTGGCCAGGTCCAGCACCTCCAGGCGTTTCAGTGGGGCAAATGCCTCCCCTTTAATTTCCGTAAGGGGAGTTTCATCCAAGTGTAGTTCCACCAGGTTCTCCAGAGGTTTAAATGTTCCACTTGGCACTGTCTTCAGGGAATTCCCTGACAGGCTCAGCTTCTTAAGGTTCTTCATACCTGCACACATAAAAGTATATTCCTCTAATGCCCATGATAAAATGCTCCTGTCCAGAAGCAAAGTTGGATACGATCCATCATGAAAATTGTTTGAGACATTCTAGTGGAGGAATTTTCAGGAAAACTAATGGTTGCAAACTCCTTCAACACAAGAACTACCAGAGCAGGCAATTAGACTGCTGCATTAAAAGTAGTATAAAACTATTATTCTGTAACATTTTATTTGCCTTTTCCAGATGTTATTTGGTATGTTTAAAAGGTTAAAATGTTTGAAATCTCGATATTAAATAGGAAAAGTAAAAATTGCAGAAGCTCTTGGTTGCCAAATGAGCCAAGTAAAGTGCAATAAAAATCGGCGAGAAGTCAAATGACTTCCCCAGTAGTTCTAGTTAATCTGCATCACATAGAACAAATTGGGCATGTGCAGCCCAGTAGTTACTCTTCTTTCACTAGCAGTAGAAAGGGGCTTCATTGCATCAGCTCCTTAAACAAATTATATAATGCTTCTAACTTGCACTATGACTTTCATTTCTTTTTTGTATTTTTGTGTAAATAAGAAGGGAGAAAAACTAGAAAGCAATGTCATGGAAGGGGAGAGGTTGGAATGTATTGTGTGAGGCCAGAGAGGAACCAGGAGATTTCACAGATTCATAATAAAAAGTCTATTTCCGTAGCAAGCTTCACCAAAAATGAATACACCAAGTACCTTGCACCTATGTGTCTAGATACCAATTTTAAATACAAAAAATAAAATAAATCAATGAAATATCACTTTACCCACCATTGGACAATAGAGAGGACAATTGGAGAAACCAGACACACTGACTGACTATAGCTGATTTATATTCTTAGAAATGACTCATAGCACAAGAAACCTTCTCTTGGGGTAAGAAATAATATGAATTAGATCTCAAAATCTCACCTCCTGATAATACTCACAACAGGCAGAGATCTGATCAAATGCAATGAAGCAAAGAAAGACAGTTGAGCAGACCTTGGAAGACCTTGAGGTCCAGACGACTCAGCGAACAATCACTGAGATCCAGCTCCTCCAGTCCCTGAAAGAGCAGCCTCTCAGAGGAGAAGCCCCCCAGCTTGTTGTGGGCAAGGCAGAGCTTGAGAAGGCGTGGTGTTCCTGTCAGTACCATAAGGCTGCGGCCATCGAGGTGATTCCGTGCTAGGTTCAGGCTCCTTAAGTTGGATATGTTCTGAAAGTGCTCACTGAGGGTTCTTAGCTGATTCCCCTCCAGTTCCAGCGTCACCAGAGATGGAACACGGGAGAACAGGTCAACAGGGAGGTTGTCCAACCGGTTGAAGGAAAGGTTCAGTGTAGACAGCTTTGCTAAGCCCTGGAATATACATGTAAATAGTGTCCTTCAATGTCTAAATGCACACTTGCCACAACATTCAGGCTTATAACACCTCTCTGCATATAATCCTGCTGTTCCCATCTCCTGCTACCGCTAAGGACATACATGTACCAATGCAACATGTTCATGGGAATTTTTCCTGGCTCCTAACCAGCTAAAGTGATTTTGACTGAAGTACACAGTAGCCATCCAAGATGTTTTCAGTGTGTTCAGAGTTCACCTCACACCAGCTCCAAGTGTAGCTCCACACAAGTTTTTCACTTTAAAAATTACATCAGATTAAACTGCCTGTTTCCAGTTCCTACTCCTTTCTATATGAGCCTAAGAAAGATTGCATTTTAGGCCTGCAAATACATACTCTGAAATGTACAAATATTTCACAGGAAACTGTACATATTGTCTAACACAAATATGGGGCTAGGTCATGGAAAGAGCAAAGTTTACCTGTATTTTTTACCCACAATAGAGCATAGTACTTACACGAAAGGCATCTTCCTCAATACTAGCAATGTTGTTGTCAGAGAGATCTAATGTTCCAAGTCGTATGAGGCTCTGAAAGATGGAGGCAGACACGGCTGAAATTTGATTCTTGGCCAGGATCAATGTTTCCAAGGACTTATATGCACCAAATACATCTGGGATCTGCTTGATTTTGTTGTTACGCAGATTCAGGTGACGGATCTCGGGATGGAGCATGTTGGGCACGACTTCCAAGCCTGCTCCCTCACAGTCAACCTTAAGAAAAATTAAGGCAGTGAGGGCAAACAGCAATGACTTATATGATGCAGCATGCAAGAGTGAATTTGAGTGAGGTAATTTTGAGTATGAGTTTGAGCCTGGAGGAAGTGGGATCCCATTTTTAAATAGTATAACTTTCATTTGGTGCAGGTGCTTTAACTACAAATGAACAGTCATCTTATTGGACAAATAAAATCATCATCCACTTCATAATGTTTCTGCTAAATATCAAAATTTAATATTTTATAATATCAGATATATAACTACATTTATAAAAATTGGTCAGGAGTTCCCACTTGCCCCAATACTACTTTGGGGCGAGTTAGACCTCCCCGCAAGTCTTGAGTGCTTGATAGAAGTTATTGTTCTTCCCTGAAATCTACTGGTAAAACAGCAAAAGTTGTTGTGTGCAACCTGTCAACAAATTTTTTTTGACACACTGAGCAACTCAACCTTCGGAATGTTTCCCATTCCAGGCAGCAAATTATGAAATCATCTAATTGAAACTTCCTTGTTATGCACATGTCATCCTGTTGATTTAGCATTTCTAAAGAAAATTTGCAGCAAACATTCATTTCCAGCAAAAGTTAAATGAGAACAAAAGTAAACTCTAAATAAACTTGAGTGCTCTGCTCTTCAGCAACTTCAATATGCAAATATTTTCAATAACTGCTCATAGCCTTGCTTTGGCTTATTTTGTAGATAATAGTGAATGCAAAATTAATCTGAAACTTGTGCATTTGCTGATCAGATCAACTAAAGTCATTAAAACTCTTTTGATTTTTGGCATTGTCATTATTGCAGTAAGTAACTTTGTATTGTGGGATGTCATGGTTAAATTGAGGATACCGACAATTAATAATAGATTCATACCTTCCCCAAAGGTTTACCATTGAGTTTTTTCTTCATACTGTAACTTTCTATTCTAACTCGAAGAACAGTTTTGCTGAAGTCAAAACATTTTTTGTGTAACCACCCTCCAAAGTAAGAGGAACCCTACCCCCTGGAGTGCTGCACATGCCACATTTCAGCTTGCTGTATCAGGCAATTTCACTGAAAGGAATATATTTTAGGAAAAGAAACTTCAAACAAATTTTTCTGAGGGGATGTTCCCAAAGGAAGTAGGAACTTTCCTTAAATCAGCATCCCAAGAAGTACTTGTGCACCAAATTTCAACTTTCTCTTAACATCATGTTGTACATTGACGTTTTGCTGACGTGAAGAAATTTTGAGGAAATATCACTCCAAAAAGTATTAGTTGCAGGGGACGTTTCCCAAAAGTAATATTTTATCTGAACTCAGCATTACGACAGCTCAAGTCATTGCAATTTCATATTCACATCTTATCTAGAACATGATTAGAATTAGTGTCAGTCAGCCAATCGCTCATGTCCACATGGTTTGGTGATGGATGGAGGGGGTACCACTTACCCCAGAGGAGGGTGGGGGATACCTGCTTGACCCGTGTAGTGAATTTTGCTGGGGCAAGTGGGTCCCCCCTCATGAATTGAGTATTAGCAGAAAAGTACCTAACTCACCCAACATATACAGTAATATAGTCTATGAGCTTTCAGCTGAACATTGACTTTTCAAGGAAACTCATTTTGAGGTGGCTCTAAGTCTTATTCAAAATGTCAGCCTTGCACTCTTGTGTCGGTTCTGTTTGCCATGATTGGGCTTTCGTCCCTGGAATTTTAAGAATGCCTGGTAAAGACGGGTGGGATATATTTGTGCAAGATGGCTTACTATATGACTGTTATGGAAAACAAGTAACTTTCCCTTATAGTTGAAATAAGCTGAAAAAAAGAAGGGGGTTCCCACTTGCCCCAGGGGTCCCACTTACCCCAGGCAACTATACTGTAATCAAATCCAGCATACCTTAAACAAGTTATCATCACAGTGACAACCAGCTGGACATGATGAAGAGCGGTCTTCCAAATCATTGAGTGAGCCATCACTCAGATGATCTGGGAGCTCCTGATGTCCATAAACTTGTTGACAGCTCCAAGCAAATAAGGCACATGACACCCAACACAAGATGGGAATCCAGTTGAGGGTTTTTGTAAGAGTCCTCCTCTCCCCTGGATCCAAATGGTATTGGAATGGCATTCTCTTCTATTCCCAAAACTTTCATCTCATGACTTCTGGGTCAAGCATCAATGCAATGAGTCAACCAATAATTTCAATATGAATTACTTTGCCTAATGGTATGCCAAACTAGAATAGCATTCAACTGCCTTAAGTCTGTAAGCATACTCATTATGTGCACACTCTGTCAATGTCAATTGTAACTTGAAATGGGCAAAAGGAAGAATTAGGAGAGTACTCCTTGGCCTTAGCACAAGCTGTGAATGAGCTTCTTTAGGAACTGTTAGAACATGGGGTCTAACCAGATGACATCTATGAGCTAAATATTTTACCAAAAAATAGACAGTTTATGCTTCACACATTCCAGCCCAGTTCCAGCTGACTCTGGCTCAGTATTAGAATCAGTAGGTCTACCTTTGGATGAAGTGCCACTCTGCACTCAGAGTGAATCCACTAAACCAGTTATATAAAAGCTAATATAAAAGCTTCTGGAAAAATCTCAAATCTGCAATCACTCACTGCACTACAGCTGCCATTTTCATCCTCCAACAGCACCCTCTGTTAACCAAGCGCAGGAAATGGCCAATGAAGAGCTCATATATCACTAATTGGAAATGTTTCCTCTGAAGTGTCATAGTGTCAGGTTTTCTTATCATCTTTGTGCAAAACACGAAAGCAACTTCTTCAAAAAAAAATGTCATTCATCAAAAATAGATTACCCCAGAGAAGGCTAAACATATTGGACAGAAACACAGTAGGCTTAGCATGGCAGCATGCTAACTGAACTATGCAAGCAGACAATTTTTGCATACTAAACAAAAAGCCAATGTATTTCCAAGATGACAGTGCTCATACCTACACAGATCATAACTTGGGTGCAGGCAATATAAAATGAAGAAACCTCAAATGCTACTCTGCTAATGGATACAACCATGTTTCAGTCAACAAATGAGCATTATTATTGATTACATTCCTGTCATCTTCTTTCTTTTAACCCTTTCAGACCTGAATTATGGCCACTATTGGAATAATATACATTTTTGCTATTTTTTTTTAGCTCTTTTCCTATTCTACTTTAAATTTTTATGTTTTACATTATTGTTTTATATTTTGTATAAATTTACCATATCATACCATATATTATATATTACACAAGTAATTACATAATTGAAGATTACAAAACTGATGAGAGAAGGCCTCCAACAAAATTGAGTCCATTGTAGTGTAATATGGAGTGAAAAGTCATAAGAATCCCAAGAAATAACCATAGAAACAATGAAAATGCTATGTCCATTGGAATGGATGTGGGGTCTGAAAGGGTTAAATTAAAGAGAGTTCTTACTACTCAACCTCCTGATAATATGATATGAGGGTTGTTCCAAATGATATAACTGATATACTATACATTTTCCAATGGCTGTTTTTAATTCTGTAGTTTCTCATAAGTCCCTGAAAGTTGTAAACCAAATTGCAAAAAATATTTGCCACATATAGAAAAATTGAAGAACAATTTTGTAAAACTGGTTTACTACCTGCTAGAAAGGTGATGGTTCTCCAGTTATGGGAAGAGCAGATCTCCAGGTCATAATCTATTACAACCTCAAACAAGGTTTATAAGCCAAAGACTACCATAATGTGATGGAAACAGTGTTAAAAGACTCTGCTTATGCTTATAGCATAGGCATTTGGTAGTGCTATATTTTCAGGTTGGGGAGGGAGGGTTTCAAAGACAATACTAAATTAGGTCATGTAGTGGTAGCATCTGAGGAAGAGAAAGTTGAAGCTGTGACTACACAAATAATAAATACCCCTTATATCACATATCACATATTAGGAGATGGACCAAAAAGTGGGAATTGCATCAGCAGCAATAATGAAAATTCTTCATCAAAATATGCAGGTCTAGAGGATTATTTTGTCATTGCATTCTTAATCACCGGAATGAAGACTGAGGAGCAAACCACCTTGACTTTTGCTGCTTGATTCTGAAGAATTTGGATAAAGGGAGGTCAAAGCACCTGAATGATCTCATCACACGTGAAGAAGTCTGGTTCTACCATCATGACCCTCTCACTAAAGGCAAAGCATGATGTGGGTGTTTCCAGATAAGGAACCACCTGTAAAAGTCATGAGACCTAGATGTGTTTGATAGAACATGCATGTTTTTTTATCTCCGTGCACGACATTTTGAAGCTCATCAGTCATGATGACAGGGGGCATACAGTTACTTTAGGCTGGTATGCAGATGCTTGCATGTCTGAAATGTTTGAAGCTCAGAGAGAACAAGTGCCAAAAATAATATTTCAAGACACCCTTCTTCACCAGAATAATAATCCAGCAAATTCAACCATCAGATAAGAGCAGTTTTTGGAGGAATCTAGAGTTTAGACACTGTCTCATTCCATACATCCTCCAGATTTAGGTCCATGTGAATTTTGGCTCTTCAAAAAAATGAAATAGCAACTGAAGGAGGAGTCCAAAGAGGAGTCTTAAGGTGTAGTGAACCGGGTATGAACCTCATTCACCACAAAATACTTTAAAACATGTTCTCAATACTGGTTCAGCAGACTGAAATTATGCATATCAGCTGATGGAAGATCCTTTGTGAAGTGGTAGAAGTTTGGAATAAATTGAGCTTCTGGAAGTATTAGAGCTGCAAAACTTTTGGAACAACCCTTGTACAAAGTCTTCCTGAACTCTCCAAATTTCTCACTCAAGAATTGCTGTGCTGATGACATAAAATATGAATTTTCATCTTGTTCTTGCTCATTGATAGAAGGTATTCCAAGTCCCAAACAATTTTAAATTTCTATAGCCAATCTAATTCCTACTGTATACCTGCTTCCATTCATGATCTGACTAGATGGCACAGGTCAAACTTAACCCCTAGCATCCTAATAATGAGTCTGACTCATGGCCATAGTGAAGTGCCCAACAGCTACATCACAAGTCAGACTCGTTCATCATTTCCAACTCTTCTCAGCTCAACAGTTTCGACTGGAATTAAAGTCACGTTTTGTGGACATTCAGTGAACTATCCCTTGTTTTTATATAGCGTTGTGTTATTGATTGGTGGCGGTATTCCTTCATCTTGTGCACACTGTCAAATCCTGTGAACACATCACATAAACCTAAACTTCATCATGAGCACACTATTTCCCGATGGGGATGGAACCTCCACTTCCACTTTCAATGTGGAACACGCTGCCTGACGTAACGGCAAGCAGGATGAAGCAGCCTTAATTCAGGTCTGAAAAGGATAATATAGGGTGTCCATAAAGTGACAACCTATGGGTGAATTTTTTCATTATAGACCCTGAAGTAGCCTTTTTAATTTTATTTTGTAGATTGACAACCTTGGAATAGTGTTGGATCTTTTCTCCTACCACTTTGGCATGGCCGAGAATTAATTTCTCACAACTGGTGTTTCATTAATTCTTTTTCACTTGAATGGAGAAATTTAAACATTGATTTGAGCAAATTTTGCCATTTGACCCTATTGCAACAGCTTCTTGAAGTTATCACAGTATCGATTGAATATTAGAGCATTTTGGGAATTCAAAATCATAAAAATTATGAATTTACTCGACAAATTGACTCAATGTGTCAACTGTTGATTTCCAGACATATCTGAGCTCATTGTTGGCTCCATCCATGAGAATTCTATCACTTTTCTGGCAACTGGCACAGGAGATAATACTTATTCTCTTTCAAGTTGTTAAGATCTATAGGCTTCTCCTTGTAAACAATGCCTTTTAAAAAGCTCCAGGGAAAAAGAAATCACCAGGGGCCAAAATCCAGAGATTGTGAAGGCCATTTGCCCTGGCTGACAATTCAGAATGCTGCGCTCCATATGTGTGAACTTGTATTTAAAACGAGGGTTTGGTAAATTAATTTTCAGAGACAAAAGAGTGTAGAAACAAAAGATGTGATACCATTCTGAAGTCAAATGATAAACAGCCTATAAAAATAAAAAATTTGGTTCCCCCAGATTCAGTATGAAAAAGTTGCCCATAGGTAGTCAATTTATGAACACCCTGTATTATAATAGTTACCAGTTTGATATTTGTTTTTAAAACTGAATTACCATTCAGTAGAGCATATAGTATCTTTACCCAGAAAGTTTCATGTCTCTAGCTTGTACAGTTTAGTTTGAAAATAACTATAGCTGACACAACAAGATATACGCAGTTCCTGCTATTTTAAATAAGGGTGCCAAGTCATGTGTAGTGCCATTTAAAGAAGGACTGAAGGGGTTAGGTAATGTACCTCTGCCTAGGCTTGCTATGATTTTTATTTTTTTATTATTTTGTCCTCCTTTAATGAATTGGCAAAATTTTAGAACAAATATATTGATTAGTCAGTACATTAATTTATAACAGCAAGTTAAGAATAAATGACCTTATGGGAAAGAAAAGCTAAATAAGTTTTGGAAGTTAGCATGTTAATGTATACAAATGCTTTATGATGTTAACGTCAACAACACCGTAGTTGCCAATATTTAAAGTTACCATCAACATTTCACGACTTTCCTTAGGGGCTTGGAGGTCGTCAAACTCACAGGGCATGGCATTGCTTGTGCTATTACTGGCCTGAAGGTGGGACCATCCCACCTTGTTGCATTCACTCCCTAAGCTAATCAGAATGAGGTTTGCTTGTCAACCAGCATGCTTTAAGCTCAGCCAGCACAAGGCAATGAGGCCTGCATAAGGAGGCAATATGACCGGCGAGTATGAAGGATCCCCTTTCAGAAGTCGCCATCCCCAGACATAAAAAAAAGCAACTGCTCCATACACATGCATGTGTGCAGAATGATGGCATCGTCAGGCATGTCACATCACGGTCTAAGTGTCTTAGGCCATGATTGGAATCAAGTTTCATTGCCATAGTATGGAGAAAATTATCAAACAAGCAATCTAGTGGTGACTACAGTGTTGGTGATATTAGACCTAAATAACCATTCCAACAGTGAAGAGGTAAAAATTGCCATAAATGGATAAATAATGCTTTCATTACAATTGCACACTAGTCCAAGAGATAAGTTACAGCAGCTTGGATGAGAGGTGTGGGACTCATCTATGAACATGTGAAATAGCTAAAGGAGAGTGAGGAGGTATTTGAATAAATACTATGGAAAGGGAGAAAAAAGTGACTTGATAGGTTGTTGATGTTCACATGA